ATAATTAATTACCAAGTAATCTAAATATTGTAATTTAATTAAAGGGATTACTCTTAATTCTTCTTTAATTTAAAATAAAATATGATGCAATTACATTAAATAGGCTACTGCATAAACTATAGACCAATTCGGTATAAAACAATAGTGGATTTAGCATACATTTTTTAAAGGTATATTTTTATATAACCTTCTCCCTCTACACACTTTGATCAATTCAAGAATAATTCATGCAATTGTATATTGTTAATTTGAAAGCATTAAAAGTGCAGTTTCTTGTCTCTCCTCCTTGTATTAATCAAGTGGTTGAGGTTGATATAGGATTTAGTAATATGTAGACCAATACTTTCTAGAGATAGTAATTATTACATTAATCTAACTACACCGTTGAAGATGTCATTTGTTGTTAATAATTCATAACTATTTTAGAGTAACTGTTATAATATCAGAGGTGAAACTGGAAGAATGTTATTCAACCTAAAGTAGTCTACTATTACTTTGATACATTTTTACTTAAGTAAAAGTAAAAATACCAGTCTAAAAAATCTACTCAAGTAAAAAGTAGTTAATTTAAAACATGAGTAAAAGTTGCTGAGTAACTTGTTTAACAGCGGGGGTGGGGTGGGGGACTCACCCATGTGGGGTTGTAACGTATGAGAGTTTCACAGTATGAGAACCGTCTCAGAAAATATCACGGTTTATGGTATTAAACAATTGTTAAATATATAAACTGCATTATTAAATTACGGTTATTATTTTCATCAGTTAAAATGACAGTTAAATAAATTAATCATTTGTTCAATAAAACATAATATCAACTAACTTCAATAATTGATTATGATTATGATTGACATCTTATTTTTTGAATAACATGAATAATTAAATTTTATTACAATTTTTTCAATGATTTAATAGAAATATATTATCCAAAACAGTGGTAATTAAATAAAAGTTTAGCAAATGTTTTAATCCTTTTATTTTTTGGCAAAGTGCTGCAAAACAGATTTAGTCAATTAAACCATGGACAAACAATATATATATATTCCTTAAAGAATGTGTAAATACATTTTAGTATTATTGTTGGTGTTTAAACAGCACTTCCTCTTTAAAAAAGGGGAGGAGACCGCAAGAAACTCTGGGTTTACTGAAGAAAACCTGCTCCCGACCAGGTTAGGTTCACAGAGTAAGTTACCATGGTAACTGACTCTGAGTATAAGTTACCTCTCTTTCAGAAACGGGCTTGACTTACTCTGCTTTCTCGGGTTTGATATACCCCCCTTTCTGAAACGGAAAACCCAGAGTTTCCCTCATTTCAGGGTTAACATACTCAGAGTTTTCACTTAACCTCCTTTCTGAAACAGGCCCCAGTGGTACATGAAATGAACACTGTTTGTTTGGTTACAGGTCTGCGAGGAGGCCCGTTGTCCAAACATTGGGGAATGCTGGGGGGGAGGAGAGTATTCCACTGCTACAGCAACTATTATGGTGGGTCTGGAAAACACCTGCAAGCATACAAGGATAATATCTCTATGTAATGGTTTTCAAACAGTATTTTTTCCCTAAAAGAGGCATTTTGATTTCCCTTTCTCATTCCATAGTTAATGGGGGACACATGCACACGTGGCTGTAGGTTTTGTTCCGTTAAAACGGCAAGACGTCCTCCACCTCTTGACCCTGATGAGCCATATAACACAGCTAAAGCCATTGCAGCATGGGGACTGGACTATGTAGTCCTCACATCAGTAGACCGAGATGGTGAGGAAACATAAAAACGTCAATAAACCAAAGTTAAACACTTTGTAAAATGCCTTCACAGATAGTTTCCTTTCTTGTTGACCTATTTGCTTTTGGAACAAGGACATCTTGATTGTTTTAAAATAGCCAGTTTAGCTTTAGTTATGTCATAGCGATGATCCATATTTTGCTATTTATTAGTCAGTTGCAAGTTATATTTGTTGGAGGGGCATTCTCCTCTGTCTAGAAAGCATTTGATTGGAAGAAAATCTGTGTAGTGACAGGATGAGTCATTAATATTTTTGGTCGTTTTCCTAAAAGCGGAAGACCCTTTTTTGTTTTTAAATGTTTTTAAAATTTCCATTGTATTGTAATGTTTCCTTATCCGTACAATATTTTTATTATGCTGAAAAGACATTCCTGATGGTGGAGCTGAACATTTTGCAAAGACCGTCGTCAGCCTTAAAGAAAGGTATTGAGAATACTCTGTTTATTTTAGAATCAGCTCATTCATTCGTTTCTCTCACACATGATCTTTTCTTTCTAAGGAACCCTAAAATCCTGGTGGAGTGTTTGACTCCTGATTTCCGCGGTGATCTGGCAGCAGTCGAGAAAATTGCTTTGTCTGGGCTTGATGTTTATGCTCACAATATAGAGACGGTTCGAGAACTACAGAGGTTGGTGCAATCTTGTCCACTCACATAATATTGCTGTCATGTCTGTTACATTTTGCTTATACGTATGTGTTTTTAAAGAATTCTTTTGAATGCAGTTTGTGAAGTCAAAAAATACAGACAGCTTTAACAAAGTGTTGTTTAATATGATAAAGTTCTATGCATTTTTTATTTTTAAGCAAACAATATTTATTATAAGAATATTAATAAAGTATTGAAATATTTCCAAATAATAATTGTACATATTTTTATTTATTTTGTACCAAAAAAAAAATGTTTTTTTTAATTATATACAGTCACCACCAGATGGCAGAAATATCTAGTCTATCTTATCAAGTGAATTTGTAACAGTAGTTCTCATCCTTTGATTCTCACTGCTGTTCAAAGCTTGGAGATTTCATTGCAGATCTCACTTTCACCTTTGATATTTGACCCTAAGGCATGTGCGTGACCCCCGTGCAAACCTTGACCAATCACTGAGTGTTTTACGACATGCTAAAAAAGCTAAATCCAGTGTGCTCACAAAGACATCCATCATGTTGGGTCTCGGAGAGACAGATGCACAGATACATGCTGTTCTTAAGGGTAATGTCCTGTAACCTACACTAATTCATACCAGAGTTTCACATGTATTGTACGTTTATATTAGGAGGTACATATAATATTCATTTATTGGCATGGCATATGAGAGTTTTTTTGTCTTCTTGCAGAATTGAGGGACTCTGGTGTTGACTGTCTAACACTGGGCCAGTACATGCAGCCAACCAAACGACATCTCAAGGTACAACAACTATACATAATATTAAAGGGGTGGTATAATGTCCTTTTCAAAATGATTACAATAAGTCTCTGATGTCCCCATAGTGTGTATGTGAAGTTTTAGCTCAAAATACCCCACAGGTATTTTTATATAGCATGTTAAAATTGTCAACCAAATCCATAGTCTATTTTTAAAGTGTAGCAATGTATGAAGCATAGTGAGCAAACACAGATACAAGCTTAGTGTTTGCCCTCTCACGAAAAAGCGGATTCCTATTGCAATGACTAGATTTCACCTATACAAATTTGCAGAACAATGTTAATATATAACTGTACCTTAAGTAATCTATTATAGATAACTCGTCTCGCCCCTAAACGGCCATATTTCCATCATTTTAGTTTAATGCTGTTACATCACTCCTAACGCACTTTTAGAATGGCACCTTCTTGAACACATCATTCTAACAGTGTGTCTGATTGAAGGTGGAAGAATATGTTACTCCTGAGAAGTTTGCTCACTGGGAGAAGGTTGGCCAGGAGATGGGCTTTGTCTACACAGCCAGTGGGCCACTTGTGCGCTCCTCTTACAAAGCAGGTAACCTGAATGCATGTTTAAATGTATAAAGATTTATATAATGCCTAGTGTAGATAGACTTTGGCTCATTTCAGAATGACCAAACCAACATTTGAGATGCTGTGCCATGAAATTGGTCAGGTGGTTAGTCCAATTATATACACATATGTGTTTTTTTTTTTTTGTTTTTTTTTGCGCATCAAGGGATTTATTATGTATATTTTCCACCTTAGTTTATGTTCATGTATTATAATCATCTTATAAAAAATCATCCGCCCAATTTGAGTACTCAAGTTTTTATGTGCATTGTTGGAATTTATGCACATCTTGTCATTTCCATTCAATATTTTTAAATAGATCAGTTCTTTTACAACAAGATGGTGAAGTTTTGACCATCAGGTAGTGTTGTAGTCAAGACCACTTAACCCGAGACCAAGACAAGACCAAGACCAGAGTGTATCGAGACCGAGACAAGACCAAGACTTTTAGGGGCCGAGACCAAGACCAGTACCCCACACTAGATGACACAATAAAATGTGAAACATGACCAAAAGAGATTGATCTGAGAGATTGATCCCATAAAACACAGATATTTAACACTCAAAGCTGAAATAAACTTAACCATCTTTATTCAATACTCCTGGGTGTCTTCCATCATTTAGTACAGAATGTAAAACAAGTCTTCACTTTTCTCCGCATTTTATTAACAATACATGAAAATGAATACATGGGTGACAGGCAGCGGTAACAAAAAAAAAACATAGAAATGACCAATAAGTCACGTTATTACTTGGATTTGAATCAGTATGTTTTACATACAATAAAAGCAAGGATGTTAACAAAAAAAATTGACAATATACAGGCAAATTAGTGATATTTTCACAGTTATGGTCTTGAGTCCTCAGTGTCCGAGCCCGAGACAAGACCAAGACCAAGACCGGTCTCAACACTACCATCAGGGCAGCCATGTTTAAACTATCATGAAGCTCACACACTCGCACAAACTGTTACATTATTTGTTAAAATGCACTGTCTCATGGTTTTTCTTTGTATATTTCTTTAGGCGAGTTCTTTTTGAAGAATCTGCTGGAAAAGAGAAAGACCGAAGACACCACAGCAGCAGCAGAGTAAACAGCTGACCGTCACCTGTCTATCTTCTCTTTCCCTACAGTATAAACACTATTAAAGGGATAGTTCACCCAAAAATACAAATTCTGTAATCATTTACTCATCCAGATATCATTTCTTTTTAGACATACAGGTTTGGAACTACACAAGTTTGTGAGTAAATGTACATTTTCATGTTGGTGTGAAATATTCCTTCAAGTAACATATAAACACTGTAAAGTATACATATACACAATAAAATTGTTGCATAACATTCTTTAAATGAACACATTTGATTGTTTTAGTAATGGATTAATGATCTGTATATTGTGCATCATCTAAGTAATATAATTAGAATATGAATTAAACTTGGGTAAATACATGTTAATTGTGCATTTTTTTGGTTCAGCCATGGTTGTCTTCCATATGTTAAGTCTGTGAAATGAATAGATGACAGTGCTTCTTTGATTGGTCCATATTTATTTAAGAAATCATTCTCTGGAATTGTTGTACGTGACAATTACAAACCTGTACAGTAATGGATGATTTTATAAAAGTTACAGATGTGACTCTACAATAACTAATACACAGTGCAGGTCCAACAATATATAGCAAAAGATTAATAACTGGGTGACAAACGGCTATTTGATGGTGTACTCGCATGCCAAATTTAAGGCAAATGTTTTACACTGTGTCCCACATGGTCCCAATATCATAATTACCATCCCTCAGACATCACTCTCAAATAAGTAGGTAATTTTTCCACTAAAATCCATTACACTGATAGCCATAACCAATAATACTCTACTGAACAGTAGTGGAATGTTGAAATGCATTAACACTAGTTATGAGCAGTCATTTCTGTTTATATATATATATATATATATATATATATATACACACACATACATACATGATGTGTGTGTGTATATTAAACATTCTAAAATAATCGATGATTTAAAACAAACTAAGACAGATGATAAAGTCTTTAAAACATTAAATCACTGCATTTTGCCAACGAATATGAGAGATAAAATTCAGTCTTAAAAAAAAAAAAACATTCTGTTAAACAGTTCAACACACACAGAGCACATGCATTTTTACAAACAGAGGAGTCAGTCGTTTTCCAGGAACGGTCGCACATTAATTTGGTTTTCTCAGCAAAAGACTTTAATCAATATAAAGTGCACATGCATGTGTGTGTGTGTGTCAGTGTCTTAGGCTTTGGCTTTCTTGATGGGTGGTTCATTGACTCGAGGAACTCCTCCAGATGGTGTGAAGGGGATTCGGGTCGTTACCTTCTTTCCAATGGTCTCGATCTATGCAAAACACAACATTAAACAATGTGACCTAATAAAGTGAATGAATAGAATGACGAGTCAGAGAAGTGGGTCCACACAACAACTACTGACCTGAAAGCCAAAGTTCTGTAGTTGGGGGTGCAGATGGTCCAGGACTCGTCGTCCATCAAAGATGAATGCTGGTTTCAACATCTTGTGATAAATTTTCTCATAATCCAGATCCTAAAAACAAACATAATACTTAACATTAAATAAGTGGCACAATGTGACATGGAATTATTTTTGTACCATGTATTCCATTATATATATATATATATATATATATAAAAAATGGAATACATGGTACAAAATAATATTAATAATTCAGTACACTGGCATTTATCAAAGTACCATGATAGGGATCAACAGAAAGGAGTTTTTAGCGCCCCAAAGTTTTCACTGTTTGGACCAACTAAAAATAAAATGTAAAAAAATGATACATTATGAATTTAAATCTATAATTTTAATTTACATTTTTAATACATTTACATTTATATTTTTGTATATATTCTAAATGATCATAAAAAAATCTCTACATTTCTAAATTAAATATATAAAATACATAAACCATACATTTATTAATTAGTAATATTATACGTTTATGTCTAATTTTGTATTTATTCTAAAATTATTATTTAAAAAAACAAACTAGTATTATAAAAGTTTACATTTAAATTTCATATTTAGAATTTATCCTAAAATTATTAAAAAAAATAAAGTTAGTATAATAAAAGGTTTTACATGAATATATACATCAAACATTTATTAATAAAAGATTAAGAAAATTAGCAAAGATACCTGAAAATTAATGCATTAAGGATTAAAAAAATGCTAAACATTATCAGTAAATATTACACAAAACCAACAAAATTGAGTATAAAGGAACAGCTAAAGGTAATGAATTTAGACCACGGGAGTGGGACCCATGGGAGTTTTCCTTTCTTTTTTTTAAATATTTAATGATAATTTTTTTTCATTAAATATTTTAAAAAATAATTGATTTTACTTGCACCCAGTGTTTGTGTCATCACTGCCCAGAATGATAAATTTATTATTTCTAAGGCGGGCCAATAAATACAGTGTTAATTTTAAAGACACAAATCAAGCACAAATGAATAACACAGCTTTGGATCAATTTAGATGGAGAGTGATGTAACTTCCTAAAAAGTTTTATTTTTTTATTTTTTTTAACCTGCACAAATACAGTACAAACAAATACAGGTTTTGTGCCATTTAGATGGCATGGAGTGGAGAGTGACATCAAAGATCACAAATTATATTTGTTACATTTGCTGAAAGTAAAAAGTTAGTGTTTGTTTTAACCACAAACCAAGCACACATATTTGGAACAGTTTGAACAACATGGGGTGCGACGTGTGCCATGTACCTTAAACATGTCCCACTCTGTGCAGATGACCAGGGCGTGTGCACTTTCACACGCCTCGTAGGGGTCTGATGTCACCGTTACAAGATCACAAACTGCAAACAGAATGAAAGTCAAATTAGACAGAAACACAGAGACACAATAAACTTTGTCCCACATTCCTAGACATGAGTTTCTCGCCTACATGAGATTCAGCATGACACAGCACAGCGCCTTTTTCTCCTATCATTCAAAGAGACCTAAAGCACAGTTTTATCTGCTCAACACACATACCTCTCTCTGGGCTGTCTCCGGAGATGCTGGGTTGAGACAAGTCCTGGATTATCTGCTCCTTTAGCACTTTAGGATCATAAATATGCAGCTTTGCTCCTTCATCCATCAGATACTTAGAGATATAGATACTGGATGACTCTCTGAAACACACATGCAGGATGGACTTAGAACACCCATTGTCGGACTAATTATGATTCCATAAGCAAACTTGTTGTCATTTTGGGTAAAGGTAAATCTCACTCAATTGTTGGGGTTAATGTTGTTTGAGAAAAAAAATAAACCAGTTAATAGAGTAACTTTCATTCAGAAAACAATATCACCAGTTAATTTGCATATTTTGAGCTACCAAAGAAAATACTTCCAAACAGAATAAACTAATTGTAGCGGATCTCAGAGCAACACAAATTAGCTATATTTCCTCCTAAATGAATCAGTGTGATACAATTGACTGAGTGAATAATTCAGTGACTCATTCATAAGGCCAATCATGGTTTAAAAAAATAATACCCGCCAGCCTGCCAAATGCGGGTAAAAATCAACTGTGGCGGGTAACGCTGTCAAATCACTAGCCAATTTGGCAGGTTACTTATATTTACTCACTTTGCTGGGGAAGTTCGTGTAAGCCAAGTCTGCGCAGATTAAGAGCAAATTCTCAATTCGTCAGTCAATACAACGTATTGCACAGAATCTGCGCATATCTGGCTTACTTGAACACACGTCACTACGCAACTAATAACAGTGCGCTTCATTTGCATTGAAGCAATAGCAAAGATGAAAAAGTAAACTTTAAATTTGGTTAACAGAAAAGACACTTTTAAATGTACTTTAGTACTGTATTTATCGCTCCACCTAAAACACATTTTTAGTGAAAAGGATGAGGATGAAAGAGAAAGGGAGGAGACAGCTGAATTTTATAATATATATACACACACACATATCGTATACATTCGTCAAATACTTTCACTTCAAACTCACATTAAATCCCAGCCTCGGGCCATTCAGAAATGCCAGTACTTGGCTAGAAACCTTTAGATGGACTTAGAGGCATTTGCATCTCAAGTCTTCATATCAGCTGTAGTTAATATGGTTTATTTATTTTCTTTTTTGGCTAGTAGAAGTTCTGAATGGCCAGTAACTTAAAAATCTAGTAGCCAAAATGTCCGATAATTGAAAAAGCTGAAACCATTCATTTGTCACGGCCTACTGGCGTATCGATGTCACTTGCTGAAAGTCGCTGAAAAATCCCTAGCACTAATGCACAGGCTAACTGTCTGTCTGGAACGCACAAACAAAGAGTCAAGACCAAGGCACTTTTGAAATGAACATCATATTTTCTACCGGAATTAACTGTTGTGTAAAGAACATTTATGTTCTACTAGCTCAAATTCAGGAATCACAAAAGGAAATTGACAATGACTCCTTTATAACTTTGCCTGTAACTTTTGAAAGTTATGACTCCTGGATAACTTGTGGAGTTCACATACCATAAATGCTGCAGCCATTAGGAAAATATGGACATATCAAATACTAAAACATTCTGAAAATCATTTAACTGTTCAATTTGGGGAGGGGAAAATGGCTAAATATTTTTTTGGGACTATTTCCAAAATAGACTTTTGGACCCTACTGTATTAATGAATGGATTTTTATACTGCCCCATTCCTTAATTTAAAAAAAACAAAAACAATCCATCCAACAATCCAAAAATAATCCGCAGAGTCATGTTTCTGAGACGATGCAGAGGGATGACTCTTTCTCATTAACTCTAGATAAAGTTCGTAGGTGGGATGGGCACGTTAGCACGTGCTGTGTTGTTTTAAGCGTGCAAGTTTTTAAATAGGAGATAGTTCAAACCAAGAAAACTTTGTGTAACCTTCATCACACAAAGTTGATGATTAACTCTGTCTGATTTGTAGGTAAAAGAGAAAGAGACAGCTTTTGACTTCTCACATAATATGTGTGTGATAAAGCTGTCATAAATAAAAAATTCAAAGTGTCCCTTCATTTACCTGGTGTCTCCTGTGTCCTTTTTGAAGGAGAAACCTAACAAGGCGATTTTCTTCCCTGTAACTGTGTTAAACAGGCAGTCAATGATCCGACAGGCAAATCTCTTTCTCTGATATTCGTTCATGTCTATCACCTGCACATACAGAAATACAAAGTAAAAGATTAGACAAAAACAACCAAAATAATTTTTGTAGATATCAAACTGTTACTATAGTTGCTGTTTGATCCTGTTCATTCGTTTGATGTTAGCATGATTTTTTCAAATGCTTTTTAAAGTCTTTTCTGCTCACTAAGGCTGCATATTTGATCAAAAATACAGTAAAAAGAATTATTTTGTGAAATATTACAATTTCGAATTATTGATTTCAATTTGAATAGATATAATTTATTCCTGAGATGGCAAAGCTTAATTTTCAGCATCGTTACTCCAGTCTTCAGTGTATCATTCTAATATGCCGATTGGTGCTCAAAAGAAGATTTCTTCTTATTAAGAAGTTTGTTGAAACAGATCTGCCTGATTCTTCGATAAATAGACTGTTCAAAAGAACCACATTTATTTAAAATAGAACAACATTATAAATGCATTTACCAGGGGTTCTCAACATTTGCACTTTCCAGAAGAGTTCAGCTGTGCTCACGCCATGTTGTAATTACCGTAAATAAAACTCGGTATCCTCTCTTGGTATGAAAAAAGTGGATCTGTACTTAGATGTCATACACTGATCGGCCTATGCTGGAAAGTGGATCTTGACAGCCCATACAGTCACTTTTGATCAATTCAATGCATCCTTGTTCAATAGATTAATTTCTTTAAAGAATATGATCTTACTGACCCCAAACTTTTGAATGGTAGTGCAAGTTGGTATTATAACTTGGTATTGAACTATAACAGTTCTCAAATAATCTCAAGTGCACCTGCACATATTTAAACTTGCTGTTTGTTCAAGTAATAACCAATGATGTTTGGTACCATTTGATGACTTTTGGTGAGACTAAACAAAGCCAACATTGAACAAAGCCAACATATGCCACCAAGCAGGCCCAGTTCTAGAAATGCGTGACTAGGGGGGCCATTTCCAAAACTCGGTAGGGCAGCATTATTTTGTAGTGTTCGTTGGTCACATTTGATTCAATTTATGATTCATAGGTTTTGGCAAACAAAAGCTTCTTTTTTGTGCAAATTCAGAATGATTTCTAATGAAATTGTATTAAATACTAAAAATGTTATACTTTGTCTTGCGAGAAAAATAAACTACTTAGGATTGTTTAGTGCACCAAAAGTAATTTGGCAGGAACTTTAAATATATGTACAGTTCAAGTCCCATAATGTTGTTTACATATAGTTTATAGTTTACACAAAAGGTCCAGTTCAAATGTTTACATAAGCTTTTGATTCTTAATAGTGTGTGTTGTTACATGGATGATCGTAAGCTGCAAACACGCAATGATGCTCAAGGCAACACACAACCTTTGAACGAGATGATTGGAAATTGTTCTTATTTTACTCCCAGAAGCTACATAAAATACTTAAATATTTTCCAGAAGACAAAATAAGAATAATTTACCCTCCAATCACCCTGTGCAAATGTTTACACCCCCTGAATTGTAATGATTTTTGTTTTCAGTTTTCAGTTAAAGTAAGTACACTTTTGAACTGCTTAATTTTGTGTAAAATGCAGATATTACTATATCTTGTGGACTATATGTAAACATCTGTTATAATAAAACATTTCCGTTGCAGTCCTAAATAAAAAACATGTCATTTATGATCTCTCTAATTTTTTTTTTTTTTTTACATTATTGATATTTTGCAAGGTGCATGTAACTTCTGACTTTAACAGATAAGCTACTAATCAACAAAGAGTGCAATATTCTGATAAAATATTTTAGAGCTGAGAACAACTATTCCATATTTTACTAGAAGAGTAACATATTTTTATTTTTTTTTATTTTCAAGATTTTTTTCATGGCTTGGAAATCACAATTTTAAATTCCAAAATGTGACTAGAGCTGTCTGAGAAGTGATGAGATATGAGGTGTGCAAAAGCCTTGAAAAACTGGTCCGAAAAAGGTTGTGGATGAGGACATGAATGCTTTTTACAAGTTGAAATCTTTTATTATGGAAATTCTGGCATAACTCATCTAAAGCGCTAAGTGTGTCTATGACGGAGAATGTTTCTGGTAATTTGCATATGTAACTAATTTAGTTGTTGCTATGACAAAAAATGATAATAATAATAATATAATATCCTGTAAAATAGAGTAATGATGGAGGGGCACAATGAGAATCTAGACCCGGCCCTGCCACCAATACTAATTAAATCAGTAATCAAATTGAGGTTTACCTGTTGCCAGTATGAAGCAACCTCTGGGAGATTCAGTGCCTCACACAGATACACCAAATTGAGCACATCCTTCTGAAAACAACTTCCTCCAAAACCTGATTCAGACACATACATATTAAGGCAATTTTAATTCTCTTTAAATCTCATTCAGTTATTTCATTTTGAGCAGTTTTCCAAAGCAAACAAGTTCCAATAATTTGAACTAAGATGGTGTAAAAGCAAATGCACTGACCCACGCTGGCTTTGAGGAACTTGCTCCCAATGCGCTGATCCATGCCGATGGCTCTGGCCACCTCCTCAACATCAGCACCAGTGGATTCACACAGGGCAGAGATGGAGTTTATACTACTGATGCGCTGAGCCAGGAATGCATTCGCTGCCTAAAACATGCACAAAATATAAATTGAATGAATTTTACAAAGGCTTGGTTACAATTTAACTCATTCCCCTGGGATAAATGGTTAAATTAAAACGAACTCTGGAGCTCTGTTAGTGCGGTTCATTTGAACAAGTTAGAACCTTGGTGCGCACCAAACAAGTTGACCAAGATCTCAGCTGGTAAAAATGTTATTGTGTGTACATATGCACGGCACGTACAACAAGAACAGTTGTTGTTGTTTTTTTTTGTATCTTTAGGTTCTATGTCAATTAAACATGACTGTGAAGTGTGAACACACCCCACACATTTACATACCAGTTTGGAAAGTTCAGAGGACCAGGTGTTGGTGGTGATTATGCGTGATTTAGGGACCCAGTGCTCATAAACTGCACAGAGAGCACTGATAGCCCTTTGACCCTCTGGAGTCTCATCTCCACCAATCAGGACACGATCTGGGTCCTTCAGGTCCTTCACTGCTGTACCCTCCGCAAGGAACTCTGGGTTAGAGAGAACCTGTATATCAAAGGCGGGAAAAAGGTTGCTCATTAACACAGAATAGAATAAACTGTGAAGGTCCACAAACCCAGTTTTATAAGTTCACTTGAAAGTTGAGAGAGGCAAAAACTGCAGAAAACCCCTTTCAAAACAATAGCCTAATCCTGATTATATTTACAAGTAGATGGTTGTTGTGTAAAACTGTCAAACTGATGTAGAAGCATGTTTTACAACACAACTGGTCATGTATTCACAGCATAAAAAACACATCCATATGCATATTATATATACATATTTCTTCATATTATCAGTATATATATATATACAAACCGAATTCCATAAAAGTTGGGACACTGTACAAATTGTGAATAAAAACAGAATGCAATGATGTGGAAGTTTCAAATTTCAATATTATATTTAGAATACAACATAGATGACATATCAAATGTTTAAACTGAGAAAATGCATAATTTTAAGGGGAAAATAAGTTGATTTTAAATTTCATGGCATCAACACATCTCAAAAAAGTTGGGACAAGGCCATTTTTACCACTGTGTGGCATCCCCTCTTCTTTTAATAACAGTCTGCAAACGTCTGGGGACTGAGGAGACAAGTTGCTCAAGTTTAGGAATAGGAATGTTGTCCCATTCTTGTCTAATAAAGGCTTCTGGCTGCTCAACTATCTTAGGTCTTCTTTGTTCCATCTTCCTCTTTATGATGCGCCAAATGTTTTCTATGGGTGAAAGATCTGGACTGCAGGCTGGCCATTTCAGTACCCGGATCCTTCTTCTACGCAGCCATGATGTTGTAATTGATGCAGTATGTGGTTTGGCATTGTCTTGTTGGAAAATACAAGGTCTTCCCTGAAAGACACGATGTCTGGATGGGAGCATATGTTGTTCTAGAACTTGGATATACCTTTCAGCATTGATGGTGCCTTTCCAGATGTGTAAGCTGCCCATGCCACACGCACTCATGCAACCCCATACCATCAGAGATGCAGGCTTCTGAACTGAGCGCTGATAACAACTTGGGTTGTCCTCGTCCTCTTTAGTCCGGATGACATGGCGTCCCAGTTTTCCAAAAAGAACTTCAAATTTTGATTCGTCTGACCACAGAACAGTTTTCCACTTTGCTAGAGTCCACTTTAAATGAGCCTTGGCCCAGAGAAAACGCCTGCGCTTCTGGTTCCCGTTTAGATATGGCTTCTTTTTTGACCTATAGAGCTTTAGCCGGCAACGGTGAATGGCACGGTGGATTGTGTTCACTGACAATGTTTTCTGGAAGTATTCTTGAGCCCATGTTGCGATTTCCATTACAGTAGCATTCCTGTGTGTGATGCAGTGCCGTCTAAGGGCCCGAAGATCACGGGCATTCAGTGTGGTTTTCCGGCCTTGACCCTTATGCACAGAGATTGTTCCAGATTCTCTGAATCTTTGGATGATATTATGCACTGTTGATGATAACTTCAAACTCTTTGCAATTTTTCTCTGAGAAACTCCTTTCTGATATTGCTCCACTATTTTTTGCCTCAGCATTGGGGGAATTGGTGATCCTCTGCCCATCTTGACTTCTGAGAGACACTGCCACTCTGAGAGGCTCTTTTTATACCCAATCATGTTGCCAATTGACCTAATAAGTTGCAAATTGGTCCTCCAGTTGTTCCTTATATGTACATTTAACTTTTCTGGCCTCTTATTGCTACCTGTCCCAACTTTTTTGGAATTTGTAGCTCTCATGAAATCCAAAAGGAGCCAATATTTGGCATGGCAATTCAAAATGTCTCACTTTCAACATTTGATATGTCATTTATATTCTATTGTGAATAAAATATAAGTTTATGAGATTTCTAAATTATTCCATTCTTTTTTTACTCACAATTTGTACAGTGTCCCAACTGGAATCGGGTTTGTATATGTGTGTGTGTGTGTGTGTGTGTCTAAATAGTTGTCCTAAATTGTCAGTTTTGTGGACAGTGGTATTTTTATCTAGGATTCTTTGATGAATAAAACATTTAACAGCATGTATTTGAAATAGAAATTTATATAACAAAGTAAGTATTCACTGTTACTTTTGATCAGTTTAATGTGAATGATTACAGTGAATACTTGTATTTGGAAAAATCGATCACACAGCAAAAAAAAAAAAAAAAAAACTGTGAATGGTGACAAAGTTGCAGCACCTAAAACACATTATATATTTATTTAAAATTTAACCTAAAACTTTGATGTTAAAAAAAAGGTCATGGACATTATTTTTTATTTGTCACCTACCCGATTTATAAGCACAGGAATATTTAGACGTTCACATATACACACCTGTAAGTTGAGGCTGGGTTTGGTGTTTGCATCAAATATCCTACGGATGCTCTCAGCTGCACGGACTGGCACTGTGCTCTTCTCCGTAACAATTTTATACCCGTCCGACATCTCCACAATGCGGCGTGCACATGCCTCAATAAACTTCAAGTCAGCAGCACGACCTTTCCCCATACCGTACGTCTTAGTTGGGGTGTTTACCTGAGAAGAGAGAAAGATATTGTAGTCCGTGCACACTAAAGACCTACAGGTATATACACAACCACATTAAAATAGTTTGTGGCACTCACAGAAATAAAGACCAGATCAGCCTCTTTAATGGCAGAGTCGATATCTGTGGAGAAGAAGAGGTTCTTCCCACGACAAGACAACACCACTTCATTCAGACCCGGCTACAACAGCAAGAAGAAGAGACACATTTACAACACTGGTTATGGTCATTTCTCATAAAAAAAGACTTCACAAGTTCAAATTAGAAAAAGCATCATTTACTCACCCTCAAATTCTGTATGAATGTCTTTTTTCTGCTGAGCAAAAAAACATTATATTTTGAAGAATATCTGTAACAAAATAGTCAATGGTGCCCATCAACTGTTTGGTTACCCATACTTTTCGAAATATCTTATTTTGTGTCCAGCAGAAGTGAGAAATTCATACAGGCTTGAGAACTTAAACAAGAACTTGAACTACAAATTGCTAAAGCATTTGAAGTATTTCTTAACATTTTTAAACACATGTACTATTCAAATATTTAGGGGTAAAAAATATTTTTAATGAGGAAAATATATTTGTGTGCAATGATTTTGCAATTTATATATATATATATATATTGCATTATGGTAAAATGGTAAAATGGTAATATGGTAGTTCTGTCTTCCAAGGCATTCATAAATTACAAATATTTAAGATCAGATGTAGGCCTATGCTCACAAAGTGGGTGGAAGTTAACAGTTCAACTGCATTATTGCTTTTGTGTTGTTACCTCATAGATGGGCAGGGTATCAGAGTTCCAGGCTTTGATCCGGGATTCATTAACATCCACCACCGTTACTGTGATTTCGGGACACATGCTGGCAATGACACTACATGTCGGACCTCCAACATACCCAGCGCCTATACAGCAAATCTTTTTAATCTGAAACATCTGAGAAGAGAGACAGATGGAATCAAAGTGACAGTTTATGGCCATAAATGGTGTGCAACATATTTTGTGATGATTATGAATTGTCTCTTATTAACCAGCCTAATACAATTCATTCTCTTCAGCAGGGATCCAGAGGCTCATGAGGAGGTCAGTGGTAAGTATCGTATTACTAACCCCAGGGGACATTAAAGGGATAGGTAGTTCACCCAAAAATGAAAATTCTGTCATTGTTCACTCACCTCCATGTTGTTCCAAACCCGTTAGATTTCGTTCATCTTCGGAACCCAAATGAAGATCTTTTAATGAAATCTAAGACCTTTCTGTCCCTCCATTGCCACACACAACTACCACATTGAATCATTGATGCTTCAAAAAGAGATCATAAGGCTAATCCATATGAGCACTTTAGTCCAGATTTTCTGAAGGGACTCAATCGCTTTATATGATGAACACTTTTGATTGAGGCTTTTAATCACATTTAACCATTGATCTACGAACATAAACATTAGCTCTAGAGAATCTGTTTGACGAGCAAAAACAAACCTCATTGGTTCTTGTGTAAGCTCAAAGGTGCTGCGTAACACGAGAATGAACCTCACTGAGGTTCTCATACGTCTCACAAACATGCTTGAGCTTCCTTTTACCACAACTGATGTGTGAGTTGATGAATGTTTAAATGTGAATAAAAGCCTAAATTCAATCTGTTCGCCATATAAAGTGATTGTGTCTCTTCAGAAACTTAACTAAACCGTTCAATTCACATAGATTAATATTCACATTATCTCTTTGTGAATTTTTTGATGCATCAAAGTGTCATTTGCATAAGTGTTAATGTAGGGAGAAGAAAGGTCTCAAAAAGATCTTTATTTGTTTTCTGAAGATGAATGAAAGTCTTACAGATTTGGAACAACATGAGGGTGAGAATCTTCATTTTTGGGTGAACTATCCCTTTAAGTAGTGACACTCAGTGTTCCAAAAAAATTCAGTGATTATTTTATATAGTAGTCCTATACAGTATGTGATATATATTATATTCAGAGAACACATTTAAATGAATGTCTATTTCTAAAAATCCACTCAGTCTCGTTTGTTTTTTAAATTTGTAAACACCTAAAATATTTTACATTGTTTTAAAAAATAATTATAAAATAAATTTGAATATTAAAAGTGTATATAAATTATATTCCACCCCATCAATCAAATCCTCAATTCAGACGTCCTCTGTTCAGCGGCTGTTGACTCTACAATCACTCAAGAGTCAAGACTGATTCAACCCGATTCGCGAACAAATCATTCAGAGCCGTTTTGCGAAACGGTCAACTACAAAAAAAGAACCGTTAACGTAATTAACGTTTATGGTTCTACTGAGTCATAAAATGACTAATAAGAACCAGATGATCAACTTTTAACGATAAAAGTGAAAGGATTTCCCTCCTAAAAAGTTGTATAGATTACGCCTGTCGATGCTTTTAACAGGTAAAATGTAATGACATTTATTATTTATTTGATGGCTTATGTTCTCATGACGAATAATGGTTATATGAACTATTTCAACTTTTATAACTTAAGTGATCAGTTCAATAATTTATAGACTTAGAATATGTTCAGTTTAGATTCTGTATTATAACTTCAACCACAAACTTTAAATTCAATGAGATCAATAAGATTCACCTCAAAATCTTTTTAAAATAAATAAATAAATAGCTATAAATACACAGACTTACCTTGTCTCACAGTAAAGTTCTTCAGTAAAACACTCCTCAGTGTAAATCTGTGCAGGTGACGTTCCTCCGTCTGAGGTGCCTTGTTCCCGAATGAATAAAACTATTATATCCTTGATACATAAACTCACGAAGAACACACACACATTGACGCGTGCGTATACACGTATACACAATACACACACACCCACCGGGAGGAGGATAGCAACGTAAACACTTCTGAAAGGGGCGGGAATGGGCGTCTGCTTCCGGGGCATGAAGAGTTTTTCAAAATAAGAGCCTAGTTAACTTTTTTTTTTTTTTTTTTTTATTGAACACACTTATTTACAAAAAAAAAAAATAACAATTTACAAAATCTCTCGTTGGGAGACACATGTGCATGACATACACAGTTACATTGAACAAAATTCAATAAGCAAAATAAAAACAAACAGACCTAAAATGAAATCAATTAAGCAAAGGCATTTCAGTCCATAAGGCATGTCAAAGTTAGCCTAGTTAACTTGAGCAAGTGCAAACTAAATCTTAAGTATGTCTGTGATTTAAACCGAACAAATTATCATAGAATAAAACGTTTTAATATAAGTATTGTTTTACTATTTAAATGTAATGTATTAAGCTCCTAAATTAAAAAATGGCCAAATTGAATATTGGGCACTTTCCTTTGACATAAATTTCATCACAGCGAAGTGTAGATAACGGAGACCTGACGGAGTAGTGTCTGTGGTAGTTTCCTGGTAGTTTCAGCAGCAGCCAATCAGTGACTGGGACGTTTTGTTGACGTAGTCAGAGGAAATCATTGTGGTCTTTTTGACGCAGAAAGTATTATTGAAAGTAGTCATACTCATACCAACCCATTCTAATTAGAAACGTATAAAAAGACACTAACAACCACCAATAAATAGACGCAGATACCCACATTAAACAAAAAAGGCAAAAGAAGTGATGCTATTGCTTATATTTATTTGTAAGTATCCAAAAGTGCATAGATCAAGCCCTTTCATTAGAGCAGTTTCATTAGAACAGTGTACATAGACAGAATTCAATTTACATGCCCTGAAATCCACACCACCACCTTAACAGAACCTTCCAGAAATCATTAGTCCGTCCAATTACTCAAACAGACTTTTGTGCCAATAAGCCATTCTAACATTTTCATTTTTCACAGAATTGAACAGACAAGGAAGTTTCACAAGAAGTTCAACCACACTTGAAATCGAGATTAACATTATCTTTGGTGTTTTCTGGAGCTTCGCCTTGTGTACACAAACGCAAAGGTGGCAAAACCAAAGTGCTAGTTAGCCTTTAAGCTTATGCTCTTCACAAATATTACCAAAATTCCAAAGTAACATATTTAAATCTTATTTTGAATGATGAAATTGTTTTTAGATTTTCATCACTGAAATTTGGAAGATTTCCCATCTCGTTTACTATTCTAGAAAGTATAGCAACATAATAATTCCGGAGCAAACATAACAAAACTCTGTTCAGATTGGCATTTAACAGTCTATACTAGCAGTTGCACTAATGGTTTTTATACATGAATGATAGTGTCATAGTCTTCAGGGTGGAGATGTCTGTTTTAGATCAGATCTCAGACCATTCCCAAACACCCAAACATTCACACAGCCATGACTACAGAAATAAGTGCCCAGTAAATACGGAAATACTCTCATTTCATTATTTCCTCTTGCACAATTTTTTTGAAATTTAAGAAGTAGTCTTTGTCCACCTCAAATGTGTGAATCATTTCAAGTACATCTGTATTCAGAATGACCTGATGCAGAGTCAAGGCTCATGCTCCCACATGGACCAATGACATCATGTCTCATCATAGCTTTGGAATGTATAAGCAACCAAAGGACAAGAAATATTATTCTCTCCACCTCAGTCTACTTGAAAATAACCCAAATCTCTCAATGACACACGAAAACTAGGTAACCCTTACTCTAGATTGCAATTTATATGCAGTCTGATCTAAGTGTCATTACATAAGCATATATGTTATTTTAACTTGCTAAATACCTAATAAGGCTTTATAATAAAAACAGAAGAATTAAGAAATTGAAGACCGAGATATATAAACCTGAAAATCATCAGACTAACAATTCACCACTTTTAGCTACACTTTGAAAAGCAGCTCGCATTGTAGAAACACCTTGTTATTCAATAGTCTGTGTAGATCACCCTCTCAATATAGGACTAAACAATCTGGAATCAGAAATACTGACGGATGATTAAGGAAAGTAACAAGTTACACTGGTCACATAGCTGATCAGGTGGAAGCTGGATTTAAAAAAAATCAAATCTTTTGTGTAGGGTTCTAGTCCACTGGAGGTGCTGGTGGCTCTCTGCCATGATTCTAAATAAGAAGAAAAAAATCCATCCAATGACAACAAGAATTACAATATCAATCAAGTGATACAAAGTTAAAATAAAGCAGCCCACAATACAAATGAGATGATTAACTGATGGTTAAAAGCTATTAATGATGTATACTTTGCTACAGGTATCATGTGGAGGTCATAGAGTTTGATTATGGCTAACTTATAAGTGATAACTGACACAGTTTAATCATTATAATGCTCATTTATTAATGATTTGAGGGAGTTTGTCTGGCATGACTTACGCCATGGGGACTGGAGGGCTTGCCACTGGTTGAAGAGCCCCTCAAGCTGGCTGGGCGGAACAGAAAGATCACGAGAGCTAGAACTATCCATCCCATAATAATCATGGGTAGAGTGATGTCCCCTTCTACTGAGGAGGTGGGGCCTGGTACTGCATACATACACAACTCAATTTAAAAAAAAATAACACACAGCATGTGTGCTATGTGTTATTTGCCTGTTTTTTAGACGGACAGACTTACTCTCCTGAAGGCACTCTGTGTCTGTACAGTAGGACTGGGACTGTCTCAGCTTGGAAAGGAATCACAAAGACAATATTTGATCAAACAGGCTAAAAACAAAAAAAGATACTATATGGATGAAATGTCAACATTGGGATTTTCCCTTGAAGCAATTTTAGGACAAAACGGGTGCTTCTACATTACATTAATTCATAAAACATTCATTCAAATTTAATTTAACTCGTCTGAATCAATCAACGTACATGTGTATCCCTCTGTAAAATGTCAGTTCCCTGCATATGATATATTGATATTAGATTATATCATATTTGTATTTCTGTTTTTATACCACAAAAAAAAAATACATTGACATTTTTAATAGGGCAAAAACCATAGACATAAGTCTATGGCAAAAGGCAAAAACTATTCAAACGTTTCTCCTATAAACAGTTGAATCAAGTGTTATTTTGCCTGAACCAAAGGATCACTAGCGCCCTCTATTGGTCATTCCTTCAGACCACAACAGCAAAATTATTAAACACCTAGCATCCCAAGGTAAAGATAGGTATTTTCTATGATTTTTTTTTTCTAAATGTATTTTTTTAATAACGCCTTAAATATCATTGGCCACTACAGCTCTCAAAATTTACAAACCTGTCTGGAACATGGAGGCCCTGTCAGATTGGCACACATCTAAATAACATTAAATCAAAATGCCTTTCGACACTGTTTTTGCAATAATTAATTAGTATCATAGTTTCATTAGCAACTTTTAAATTCATTCACTTACAACTCTTTCTTTCTATTCTAAAAAGTTTTTCACAATTTTTGAAAGAAGTCTCTTATGCTCAAACATAACATTTACTTGCTATATTAGTTTGATATTACAGTATAACTGTTTTCTATTTAAAAATATTTTAAAATGTAATTTATTCCTATAATGGCAAAACTGTATTTTCAGCATCATTAGTGCCACATGATCCTTCAAAAATCATTCTAATATGCTGATCTGATGCTAATTATCAATTATTATGGTGCTCAATTACTAATAAAAACAATTACTAATTTTTTATTGGATGCTTAATGTTATGAATTTAAGACTTCTTTGATGAATAGAAAATTCAAAAGAATATCTTTTGTAAATGTCTTTACAGACACTTTTGATCAATTTAATGTGTCCTTGCTGAATAAAATAATTTATTTATTTTATTTTAGTTTTTAAAATCTTACCCAAAATTTTGTATGATAATGTATCACAGTTTTCAGAATTGATAAGAAATCTGGAATTTTACTGGAATTTTTATTAAGTAAATGTAGCCTATGTGACCAAAAAAGACTTCTTTCAAAACCATTTAAAAAAAATATTCCAAACTGTTGAGCAGAAGTGTACAAAAACTGAAATCCAATATGAAGACAGGGTCCATCTTAATTCTTCACTTTTCTTTCAGATCATACAGATCAATGTGCATCAACAAGTTTCTATAGAATGCATCTGATTAACATATAATAGCAGATCCAGAAAAATCACACAAATTAAGCATGTATCGTTTTGCTATTATTACAATTTGATAGTGAACTCACCAGGTTGATAAGTCTCCTCATGGCATGTTCATGAGAGCAAATGCACTCACAGGGGTCAAAACCTCCCTCTGCCATCCTCTCCTGAATAAGACACAATTCACACACATTCCAGACACTAATAATAATAATATTAATAATAAATCATTTTTAACATACCCACACACACAACACATACATTTAGCTCAGATCTACATGGGTGAGGTGAATTAGAAAGGTTTTACATGGGAAGGTCTATAGGACTCGTTTGAAATTCAAATATACACAAATCTGTGGTAGACTAGCTACTTTAAATACTCAAAATGTCTATTTTTCACATGCAATGAATGATCTCTAGAGTAAACAAATATATATTAGTGCTGACAATGTTAATGCATGCAATTCATTTTTTTTTTTCCATTTTAAAGCGCACATTTTTTAAAGGCAATTAAACCAGCATCCATTTTTCTGTAATTTTAAAGTGCACATTTTTTAAAGGCAATTAAAGCAGCATCCATTTTTCTGTAATTCTTAAACTTAAGTGTTTTAATCTCGATTAATCACAGAAAAAATATTGTGATTAATCTAGTTAAAATGTAATCGCGACATTGACAGTGTGTGTGTGTGTGTGTGTGTGTAGACAGACAGATAGATAGATAGATAGATAGATAGATAGATAGATAGATAGATAGATAGATAGATAGATAGATAGATAGATAGATAGATAGATAGAATGAGCATTATTTGTGATGGGGGGGAAAGTGTATCTGGATAAAAATGTGTCTGTTTGACTACTTGAAACATAAACAAAATAAAAACTGTCCAAGCACCAAATTGCTCCTAAATTTCTTTTATCTTTTTTCATTTTCGTATTGTCACAATTCACTTGAAAAATTGTGATTAATGAGAACGCTGTTAGAATAAAAAGATCTATAGGTTTATATAAGCATTTCATTAATATACTGTATATTACACTAAAAGAAAAAAATCCCACATACAAATTACACTTGATTAGAAATTAATTCTTATGGCAAAGCATATGCTGTGATGGGCGCTTGTCAAATATGAAAATGTGTGCGCTCCCATTAAATTAAATTCACAGTTCACACGGTACAAAAAAAAATACATTCCTGGTATTTAGTTGCCATAGCAGTCAGGTCCTAGATTATTAATAACATACAAACTCTTTCAAAACCCTTTTACTGCTCAAAACTCGACGCTTTTGGTGCGTTTTAATAAGTGGGAGTAGCCTATTGCATTTGCATTAGCCTACGAAACTGTAAACAAATAAAGTCAGGTTTCAGGGAAGAACGACGCTGCTACTCAAAGCGATGATTTACTGACTTTTACACTTTTCAAAAAATAGCACGACAAAAAGACGTTTGATGCAAATTTCTTGGGGTTTTTTCAGCTAAAGTTAGTTTATTTTTTTTAAAAAATGGTTCTGTTTTGTTGCTTCCTCCTCTTCGATAGAGTCACACTCAACCGGCTGACTTGAACTGTCTATCGAAACAAAAAATAAATCACTTATAAACACAAAATGTCGTTGAAGTAATACAAACAACTAGTATAAAAGCACATCACATCATGAGATGCCCAAAATATTATTCTTGCTTAAGATGTTTGACGTAGGCTTATTATTGGGATATTTCGAAGGAGGAATTATTATTCATTAAAGCATCGTAATTAATTGAATCTGCAGACAGCATTAAATAATAATAAGACAAAATTAAATAAAAGTTGCCCAAAATGGAAAACACAAGATTTTGGTAAACATATGTCTTACCAATGACTTCGACAACTCACTCGGAGAGATATTAAAACATTCGCTTCAAACCAGGAGGACCGATATGTGAATATTGACCCGAGTCTCCGGTCGCACAGGCCGAATCCAGTGCGAATGCTCCCTGCCCCGTGTACACTGCTGTTTGGCAATGGGCCGCAGGTCCGGCTGATGTTCCGTCTGTGTTTTGATAAGGATCAGGGAAGCAAAATTAGGAATGTTACTATGGCGAAGGCTTGGTTCATGAATTGTAATAAGTTTGCGCTGACGGTTGTTTTACATCCTTCCTGGGGCTTCCAATTGCGTAGCTTAATTATTCATGAGGTAAGTCTTCGTCGCTTTCACGTCTACATTATTCCAACAAATCAGCAGTAACGTTAATTAATATTAATGAGAGAAGCCTTCACCATAGTTGGATTCGTACGTGTGATGGAATCATTTACTGGCTATGGAACCAGATGGGAGCCACGTTGCTATATGACGTGACACGTCTCCGACTTTGGTAAACACTGAAATGCCGTTGCTTTTCTCACCGTTCGCAGAGCGCATCATCTATTCGTTGGTTATCCTCATTTTACCGGCGGGGTGTTTATAATGAAATATATGGAGTGAAAACAGTCTCAAAACCTTCCACAAATGCACGCGAGAGATTCACACACGCAAACCAATCCACAAATGCACGTGACAGACACAAGGCAATCCACACAGATGAACGTGACAGATCCATACTACAGCCTAGTAGTTGGCTAACAGTTACAGAAATAATTTAAAGACTTTTTAAAGCTGTCGTGTTAGGTTTTCTTAATAGGCTATATATTCTGATTATACTTTGAAGAATTAAAAAAGAGGTTTGGTTTTACTCTATATTTACATTTAAGTATATGATATCAATGTAATATGCAAAATGACAATGCAATATGTAAAATGGCATTGCATTTAGTATTTAAATTTACATTTTACATTACCATTCTAGTAACGTTTGGTGCAAAATGAAAATGAGATTACATAATTTACATTTGCCATTTCATACACTAGTTTTAATATGCATATTGAAACGCTTAATGCATTTCAGAAATGATTAGATATGTGTAACATGTTCAAGCAAAAAATGTGGCAAAATGATCATTCAAATGTTAGTTTTCTTAATTGCATTTACACTCACAGTCATAACAAGACACTTCCAATTGGATTTTCATGAAATGTCCCGCAATGGATGTAGCAAAATTCAATGTGCACATTGAAAATGCATTCTGAGCCGATCACACCCGGAGATCAGTGGAGGAACCGTGAGGAACCATTTTGCCGATCCCGCTTCTTTTTTTCCCCATAAATGCTAATGTTAGCTGTCGACTATCCCAGCTAGTTAATGACCTGGCGGACCGCCAGCATTTTTTGGGTGGCACAAAGTCAGCGGCTTGACACTGTCGGACCTCCGGCGGCACACCTTCGGCAAGCCGACCAATCTGGAAATGCGGTCTGTTTTGAAAAATTTGGGAAAGATCAGCTATACAGCAAAATATAGATGGACAAACGATTGAGGAGGAGGAAGAAAAACAGGATAAAGAGGAAGAACACTAAAGATATAAATATATTTTGTTAATTCATTTTTATAAGTTTGTGAAAGCTATTTTTGTTCAATTTGGAGGCATTTCTTTTAGTTATTTGGGCCTATTTATTTATTTTTCTAATTGGCCTACAGAAGAGACATTATTTCTCTCATTATTTCATTCATTATTTTTGAAGACTGTCATAAAACATGTTGAGTAACCTCCGAGAAGCCTATCTGAATATGTGTCTTGTATCAAGAGGAGGCATAGCCAACTTTAAATGTATTGAAACTAATGCATCTTTGAGTAAATTTGGTACTTAGACAACCGTTCTCTGAGATTTGTTTTCATGATAATCGAATGTAAAGAGTTTTATCTAAAAAACTGGGGGCATTTAATAAGTAAAAAGAAATCACTAGTTTATACCACTAACAAGGCTCAAAATAGCCCCACACTAACTCAGTAACATAAGGAGGGTCCCTACATGCAAAACGAAGCATTGAGAACTTTGTAAGTGTACAGATAAAGGCAGTTCACTTCGTGTATAGACCATTGTGCAAGATGTAAACAACACTGGTCCAGAAGCACTTCCTGTTTCAGTTTTTTAACACTACATAGCTGGGATAAAATACAACCAACAGAACATGAAGAGTTCAGATGCAAAAGCCTCTATAAGTGCCATTTGAAATTTTCTTCTAGAATGATCATTTTTATCAAGCTTGTATATTTAAGTTCAGTGATTTCACTTAAATGGCAATGATAATTACCTATTAATTGTTATTTAAGTGAAATTACTGAACTTAAATATACAAGTTTGATAAAAATCATCATTAAAGAAGAACATTTCAAATGGCATTTAGAGGCTTTTGCATCTGAACTCTTCACATATAACTGAATCAAAAAGTTAAACAAACGCCCTTAAGATGTTTTCTTTACATGTGAAATAAAGAAAACAGTTACAAACTGAAACAGGAAGTGTTTCTGGACCAGTGTTGTTTACATCTTGTAAAATGGTCTATACAGGCAGGAGAAAACAGTCTCGACAAGTCAAACCACGAACACAGTCATACACTTCAGGAGTTCGCTGAACTTCATATAGTTCAGCTCACTCAGCACGACGTTCGTGGTTTGACTACTAGTGCGCGTTTTTTTGTCGAACTAGTTTGGTCACGGCTTTGCACTGAACTAGTAAGACAAAATTCCTTCTACTAGTTAACTAGTAAGAACAAAATCAGCCTAACTAGTTAACTAGTTTGGGAACACACTAGTTAACTAGTACGACAATATGTATCTAGTTAACTAGTAGGCTAAAAGGGCCTCCACTAGTTAACTAGTGGAAGTTTTAGCTCTTACTAGTTAACTAGATACATATTGTTGTTAACTAGATAGTTAACTAGATAATATTTACTAGTTAACTAGTAAGGCTAAAAGGGCCTCCACTAGTTAACTAGTGGATGTTTTAGCTCTTACTAGTTAACTTGTAAAACATTTTTGGCCTTACTTGTTAACTAGTGCAACATTTCTCGCCTTACTAGTTGACTAAGGTCCAAAATGCATCAACTTATAGTGGACATTTCTCGTCTTACTAGTAAACATGTGAAGTGCTTCATGCGGTCCACTAGGACTACTAGTACTACTAGTGGACTGCATGCATAGACAGTATAAGAAAGACCGCATGCAAATGGAGCAGACCGGACAAGGATTTTTATTGGTCAATGTTTAAACTGTGTGCTGGAGAGACTTAAGGGGCCAGCTCTGAATTGTAACAGAAGGTGTGTTAAGTTATTTTGTTTTGTGTTATTATGAAATAGCAATTGATTAAATCCACTTTGGTATATCAAATGTAAAACAACACAAAGCAAACATAAAACTAAAGTAAATGTGACATTAATCATTGTATAGAAGACTTGCATTTACAAAACTGTTCACATTTGCATATTGATATTTTTCAATAATATAATACAAATCGCATACATTCACACATACACAATTAATCTACATTTTGGGGAAATACAGGAATAGCATGTCACTGAAGTTTAATTAAAAACTAAATAAATAGATAGATAGATGGATGTTGAGTACCACATTAAATTATCAACCATGATGCAGCACTTTAACCTCGACATACTGACAGATCCCACACTCAATACTGCACAACGTTTGTTATACTGCAGCTGAAGACAGTCAAATCTAACCAGCAGGTGGCTGGCTGGCTTTTCTGAAATTCCAGAATTGAGTTAGACACAATCCCAGTTAACAGGGAACATTCTCAGAACTTCCCTAACATTCTGACAAGGTTCTCTTAAAGTTATGAACAAACATTCTTCCAGTAATGTTAATAATAGAGCATTAGTTCAAAGTTATCTGGTCTATGGATCTATACATCGTTCATGCATTTTTTTCCTGAAACATTTTTAGTACATTTGTAAACTAGCATTTTTTTCTTCTTTCAGATTCAAGCATTCAAAAGTAACAATCCCATAATGTTTTCAAAATGGTATGTTCCCTTAACATTCGCTTAACCAAAATATTTTTAAAAAAATGTAAGTTTTGAACATTCAGAGACACTTTCATAACACTATTAGTGATTGCATTATTAGTGAGGCCATTACTTAGGTTAAATATTTAAAAAGTGCTTATCAGGTAAAATAATACTTTTAGGATTTATTCGGCTTGGATTGGGTTGTCTAATGGAAGCCACCGTGTCACATGACCAACTGAATACTGAAAAAATACAGAAAATGGCTGATTGTAATGCATTCTATGGGATTGTAATGTGTAGTGTTAAATTGCTAAGTATCAAACATGCAAAGTAAACTGCATGCCAATTAGTTAACGTGATATCTTTGTAACTTTAAGCTCTAATCTAATGGGGTTAAGAGATAATGTTATGGTGAAAACTACTTAATAAAAAGATGACTTTTGTAAGGTGAATAGGGCTTTTGCACTTTTTACCTCTGCAATCTACTTTAATTTCAACCCAAAACTTCAGACTAACAATGGCATGTCTCATGATGTTGACATGATGTTTTCTTATTAAAAAACAAAACAAAAACGAACACATGATGCTACATGACATGCTAGTGTGCTTCTTCTCTATTGTGATGTATATCCAAGTGAAATGGCTTACTGAACAAGAAAAAATGAGGGGTTGGACTTGATTTAATCCATCTGGAATTGATTGGATCATTGTGGTTTGCTATTGCTGTGATCTCTTGTGATCTCAAGTTTGTCTATTTAATGTTTTGAATGAAGTCTTATGCCAGTTGTGTGATCACAAAAAAGTCAGTGTCACACAATCCTTCAGAAATAATGTGATTTGGTGATCAAGACACATTTCTTATTAATAGGCCTAATGTTAAAAAGAGTTGTGTTTCTTCATATCTTATAGAAACTGATTTCCATGATTATTTTATCAATAGAACGTTTAAAACAAACAGTTGAAGCAGATAATTTAAATGTCTTTTCTGTCACATTTTATGGATAAAAAATCAGCCCCAAAAATCTTACTGACCCAAAATTTTTGAATGGTAATGTTTAATAGATAATTGTGTATGTTACATTTAAATATCTTAATTTGTGCTCATTTTCATCATTGACTGATAGGTTACATTCAAAACGCCTAATTTATGTTCATATTCCATGTGAGGCCTATATGATTTACTATTGATTTGTTAATTAAAAATATAAATTGTTAGCAAAAACATTGCAGGGGTGAGGATGGACAGATGTGTTTCGCTTGTATCACGTGGGAGTGAAACAGATGCATCCACGATATCATGTGACAGCGGCACTCCATAGGGGACTGAGACTAGATCTGAAAGCTTTCTGGATCTGTCAAGAGCCCTGTGTTTCAACGCATAATATCTCCACCTGATTCAACAAAGAGGACAAACGCAGTGTTCTAGTGCAGCGTTTGAGTTTTCCAGGCTCTCATTGTGTTTGCCAGTGTTTGTACTGGAGTTCATCGTGCTGTTTAGGAGAGAGAGTGTGTCTGTGTGTGTGTGTGTGTGTGTGTGTGTGTGTGTGTGAGAGAGAGAGAGAGGGGTGTGAAAGTGAAGCTCTATCAGTCTTTGCGGACTGGAGGTTCAAAAACAGCGGAAGAGAAATAGAGAAAGAGTGAGAGTGAGGGGAATTAATCAGCCATGGCAAATATCGCTGTGCAGAGGATCAAGCGAGAGTTTAAAGAAGTGCTGAAAAGCGAAGAGGTTTGCAAAACGTTACTTTACTCTATTTTATCAAACAAAAGGACTTTTGGGGATGGACATTCAGAAGCCAATGAGCTAGCTTAGCATGCTAAGCTAATGTTAGCATGAGCTGTTATATGATGGCCTTTAGATACGGAAGTCATAATTGAAAAAAAAAAAAATACTTCCCTTAATGTTTTAAGACGAAAGCCTAGCTCGAATTGCGAAAACACTTTATATATACATCAAAGAAAGGTTAGATTTGTGATGGCACATGCCGAGCTTTAGCTCTGGAGCATACATGTTATTTGACATAGTTAGCCTGCTAGCTTCACTAACACTTGTTTAGTGTGCTGTAATAATATAAGAACTCGTGTTTATCACCTATTAATGTAGGTTTTATCTTTCAAAATACTTTTTTAAATTATTTTACTTGTGTCCAGGTATGTTTGATTAGTGTCAGTAAGCTGCTAAGTTAGCCTGTTTGTGTAGTTTTCAGTAGTGCAATAACATGGCTGTTTCTTAACATTTTGAGCTGCCTAACCTAGACAGCTATTTTGGGGGGGGAATCATAGCCTCCTATCATGCTGTCTACCTAGGCACCTCATTATATTTTGAGACAGCCTCAGTCACGACTTTGTAATGTAATGGGCACTAGAAATAAAGAAAACTACCTTGTCTCACTAGCTAAATGTTTGATTCTGACATTTTTTTCCTGACCACTGTTACATTAAGTGCACAGTAGTTACATTTTCTTTTATTGGTTTCCATTTTTGTTTTGCTTTATAACAGACAAGTAAAAATCAAATAAAAGTAGATCTGGTGGATGAAAACTTCACAGAGTTAAAGGGTGAAATAGCAGGACCACCAGACACACCATATGAAGGTAGTGTGACTATTTTTTTTTTTCACAGTCTTCTCTATTGCTGCCATGTTGTGGATATTAAGAGTGTAACTTACAACCTATTTTCCCCCACAGGGGGCCGATATCAGCTAGAAATCAAGATTCCTGAAACATATCCTTTTAATCCACCTAAGGTAATCTTTATTTGTGATGTTTTTATGATTATTAGTTATTGTGGTTGCAAGCATGTAGGTTGGGTCTTGATTTTACCAGTCAGGATGGTTAGTGGGTCTTCCATACAATGATGCAGGCAGGTGTTTAAAGACCTATAACCATGTTCACTTAATAATAAATAATAAAAACTTACTAGTTTATTAGCATCTTCTGCTCCATTTGAAAGTTACAGAGCGATGAGTATTAAGTTTCCGTGGAATAAACGAATTTACTGATTTCTATTTCGTCTATTCAATGATTAATCTCCTAAAGCTGTATGGATTATTTTGGGCTGTCATTGTTTTAATTGTTCATTAGCTGGAAAAAATAGTTTTAAAAGTGATTAGAATGACAATGTTTCATTGTGTCGTTATCATTATTCCCACTCAATTCTCACTCACTTTTCACTGATCGCACTGTTCACAAGAAGAGCCGGAACGTGCACTAACATAGTAGATGTGATCGAGTATGATTTATTGTTGACTGAGAGATCAAATGATGTTAAAGTTAAAACATAATTTTTTTTGTCCCCCATCTTTTTCAGGTGCGGTTTATTACTAAAATCTGGCATCCCAATATAAGTTCAGTTACAGGGGCGATATGTTTGGACATTTTAAAAGACCAATGGTGAGTGCTTATTAATCGAGTATGATATGTGTAGTCTAGTTTATTATTGTCATCTAGCATATCCTCCATAATCGAATGCTTTCCTGTTCCTTTTTCAAAAGGTTCTGTTCTCATTCAACTACTATTTATTCTGTCTTCACTTCCTGTGTTTAGGGCTGCTGCTATGACTTTGCGAACAGTCCTGCTGTCACTACAGGCTCTGTTAGCTGCAGCAGAGCCAGATGATCCTCAAGATGCTGTGGTAGCCAATCAGGTACATATGTGTGTAAAATGTGCATCTGTCAGTGTGTCTGTCTGACCGAGAATGTGCAATAACAAAACATTGCAAACCTTTCAAGTACATCACTGTTGTGTTTTTTTTTCTTGTTGTTTTGCAGTATAAGCAGAATCCAGAAATGTTCAAGCAAACTGCTCGTCTCTGGTCTCACGTTTACGCCGGTGCTCCTGTGTCCAGTCCTGAGTACACACGCAAAATAGACAAACTTTGTGCAATGGGCTTTGACAAAGTAAGTACTGAAAAGCAGCTTCTAGTGTGGTTAAATTTAAAGATTCGCATACTACAGCAGGGGTTGGTAACCTTAGGGACGCGTGGCACTATTGGCTTGTGTTGCCTTTAGCTTTCTGCGCATTACTTGATATAAATTGGATATGAACACGGTCACTGAGTTTTTAAGCTTGTCCTATTATGCTCCTTAAAGGGATAGTTCACCCAAAAATGAAAATTGTCATTAATTACTCACCCTCGTGCCGTTCCAAACCCGTAAGACGTTCGTTCATCTTCAGAACACGAATGTTTCTGTCCCTCCATGGACGCAACTGAAACTTTGACTCTTCAGAAAGTTCATAAAGAGATCGTAAAACTAATCCATATGAATTGAGCGTTATAGTCCGAATTTTGAGCGATTTATGTCGTGAATAGTTTAAGCACTTGTAAATGTGTAAAATGCTCTCTTTCAAGAATTCTTTCAAATATAATGTCATAAATGGATTTTATTTATCATCTAGGTACACTTGTGCAAAGTTTTTCAGGTAGCTTTGCAGGAAGGTTTCCTCAAACGTCTTGAATATGTTGCCACTGCCTAAATTCAATCTGTTCGTCGTATGAAGCTATCGTGTCTCTTCAGAAAAGAGACTTAACAGACTTTTGACTAACGGCTTAACGTTGAATGGCTTAATTATTCATGTAGATTAGTTTATGAACTTTTTGAAGCATCAAAGTGGTAGGAGCATAGCTATCAAAGGAGGGACAAAAAGCTCTCAGATTTCTTTTGTGTTTGAAGATGAGCAAAAGTCTTACAGATTTGGAACAACATGAGGGTGAGTAATTAATGACAGAATTTTCATTTTTGGGTGAGCTAACCATTTAACATGTAGATACAAGTATGGTGGCGTGTGAATAGCAAATTTTAGCCCCCCTTTTTTATTCATATGTCTGAAAGAATCTACTCAATATCTGTTTTCATCTCGTAGTCCTCCAAAAAAATAAATCATAAACAAGAAATTTATATGTGATTATTGAAAAACTTCACATCCTTCAAGAAGCAGGTGAAGACACAAGTCTTCCAGAGGCACTTAACCACCCCACACTCTTAAACCAGTGTACTAGCAAAAATAAAATAAAAACTTGTATTAAATGCAGTTTTCAAATAAGCCTGGCATTGTATAATACCAAATACTGGAGGCTCCCTGACTTTTGCTTGTAAGTCATTTTGGATAGTATCTGCAAAGGGCATAAATGTAAATAAATAAAAAAGTAGGATGAGGACATTGTTCTATCCATTGGTTTTTAACTGAATTGGGGCAGATCTGAAAGCAAGCTTACAGTCGATTCTAAGAAAAGGGTTTAATCGGACTGAATGTTTGGAGAAGTTCGACATGCATCACCAGAAGCCCCTTTTACACAGAGATTCCCGAAAATACACGGATAATGTGACCCGGCATTTGTCCCGGGATTGTTTGATTTTGGTTCAATCACACTGCCGGTGATTTGCCAGGATCTATGAGTGTGTTCATACACAACCCGTAAAGATCCCGTAAAGACACATGATGTCAGAATGAGATGTGTAATGGACGCATTGAAAACATGTACACGCGCATACCGTTCCACAAAGCTGGTGAACGATCTCAGCTTCAGCGCGGATAGTTAGGAGCTCCTGGTCTCTGCTTCGTTCCAGTTTGCAGACATTTGTTCGTCCTTTCTTTGTTGATGACGAACACAAACGTTCTTCTAAGAGTCGTGCGATGGCACGAGTGTCATCACTATGACACACCCCTTGCGGCATTGGTCCTGGCTTTTGTTCATACTGTGCGATGATGCGAAATGAGGCGTAGTTGTCTTGCGCTGGAGGCGGTCATATGCAAACGATTGGTACGTCACTTCGTGCCGTGACGTCACTTCATACCATGGATCCAGAACGAGCTGTATTTAGAGCTTGATTAAATAAATGGTTCGTTTATAATGGGGAGGACATCTTAAGCTATGAAACTTGCAGGAAGTTTTAATAGTACATAGATCTCTTATATACCAAGAGATCAAGGCAAATTTAGTTTCTCATGTCATGACCCCTTTAATAATTGTGGATCTTTTTTGTCCAAGGATAATCTGAGCTGTTTTATGGGTCGCCCACCACAGTGGCTGGCAGATGAGTCAAAATTGCGTTGGTTGATGCATTCTTGAGTTATCAAAACCATCCTTACCATCAAAATAGTACACAACTAAACCTATAATAAATTTAAATAAAATAAAATAAAAATGACACTTCATGTCCCAAAAGTTGGCGACCCTTTAAAATACAGTGTCTGTAAAATATACATATTACTTATGTATTACACAGTAAAAATGAATTAATATTTTTAGGTATAGGATTTCTCACATGTTGATTTCTATTAAAATTTTAAAATAACTTTTGAGAGGTACTGTAAAACGTGTGGAAACATTACTTTTAAAAAAAATGTTTTGAAAGTCTTTCATGATGCTCCCAAAGCTGCATTCATTTAATCAAAAATACGCTAGAAGCGGTAATATTGCAAAATTATTATTACAAATTTAGAAAAATGTACTTAAAATGCTCTAAGCGATGTCACACGTTTTTTAGGCCCAAATATTTTTTGTCACCTACAGCAAACATCTCCTCACTATCCGCTAGCTGCCTGTCCCCTAAACGCACTGTAAAAAAACGCGGTCTATGCAGACAACCCAGGCTCCACAAATGGCAACAAAAACAAACTGCGGCAACCCGCTCCACGAAACATAACAAACTGTTCCAGCCAATAACTGACAAGAAGGCCCTGGGGGTAGGGTTTGGGGGGGTCAGTGCAGATGAGGAGGAGGGAGGGTCTATCTAGCCTCCGTTTTGTTTGAAAATACTTCGCTTGGAGCACCTTCAAAAATCACCTTTCTTTCTCATTCTAATGTCTATAAATACATATTAATTAGGGCTGTCAATAGATTACAATTTTTAATCGCACCCTACAATTTTTTAGACAAGTTGAAATGAAGTTGGAGATGCAAAAAAAAAAAACACTTAACCAACCGCCTTGACTGACTGCAAATACCTACTACAGTACACGGATCCAATCATAATTGCTTAACACGGCAACATACTGTACAAGACAAATCAAAACATTATTCTGAATGCGTGGAAACAATGTGAATCTGTCTGTGCATAAACACAATGTGCAATAATCAAAGAACAAAAGAGAAAATTACTCACTGCTCTTGACTGAATGACTTTTGTGTTTTTAATAATGATTTATCTATATTTAATTTATCATTTATGCAGTGAAGACTTAGCCTGGCTAACGCCAGACCACGTATCATTGAGAATGATAATGATATCGCGCTGCGGCAAGGCTGCATGGGGAAACTCAGGCTAGTCAAGACTATGAAGTGTATGAAAACTTCTATATTCAATTTCTGTATATATCCTACCTGATAGACCTGCCTGAAAATCCCCCCCCCCCTTTTTGTGCATTTTGACTGGGCCAGTAAAAATCTGACTAGGCCAAGAGGAAAAAAATAGCCCTGATAATATTGAAGGGCAGAAGTTAATGTGGCATTTATTACAATTTGTTTATGTGAAGATTGTTTTAAGTTCATTTAAATTACTTTTTTTTTTTTTTTGTAATTTTTTAAAGCCTAATACATGCTAAAATTGATAGCTTTTAAATTATACTGTAATGCTAAATGGTTATTATCATGGCTAAAATTGAAAAGAAAAAGAAAATAAATTGCAGACATCAGTTGCAGTATTGGTATCGGGACTGGCCCTCTTTCTTAAAAAGATGCCATAAAACAAATATTTAAAATATAGGCTAATGTCTTGGTTGTTTTTACATTAATTTGAAGATTAAATGTGAAATTATTACAATATAAAAATATTTTAAAAGCTTATGTGCGATCAATTACAGAAAAATTGTGCGATTAATCTTTTTAATCTATATATATATATGTGTGTATATGTATGTGTAACTACATGTTTTCTACTTTCATATAGTTTAAAATTATTATTTTTTCCCTGTGAATGTTTGTAGGCACTATTGGAAAGAATGAAATTTGGCATTTGTAAGTTCAGTTGACTTGTGGAATAGATCTTTATGATGTTCTGATTAAGCTGACTGTAATTTCAGTGTGATATTGTTCAGTCAAATAAGTGAACTGTTAGCATCAGCTAAAACTGAGTCAATTTCACAAATGTACTGTTGCTTAGAAATGGAGTGTAACATTCTGTCTTTCTCTCCCAAACAGAATGCAGTAATAGTAGCCTTGTCATCAAAATCATGGGATGTGGAGACAGCGACAGAACTGCTACTAAGCAACTGATCATCGAGTTGTTTTCATCAGGCCATGTTTCCCTCCAACCCCTCCTGCTTCATGACCCGTTCACTCCCACCCAACCATCCACACGTGCATCAGCCATCTTGGTTTGTGTTCAGAGTGAATGTTTGGGTAAGATCAGCAGTTAGACTGCAAGACAATGTTTCATCTTCTATCTCTAGCAAATGTCCACGTCCCTTGTCTTGTCTTTTTCCTCGCATTATTTTCACTTTGTTTTTGCCTTGCAACAATAATTTTCCCTCTTAAATTTAGGATGTCACTTCCCTTTTAAAGAAACCCAACAAAGACAAAACCTGTATCACCGTCATTACACACTAAAAGAAACCCCACTTGCATCTGTGAAGCAATGTTAGAACATGTGAATTAGTATATTTAAGGTTGTGTACATTTAAAAGGCAAAATACCAGGAATGTTTTTTTTTCTTTCTTCTATCTGTACACTATAAAATAGATTTGCTTATTTGAATGGGATATTCTGTATATCAAAACAAATTTTGAGATTAATTAGACCCCTTCTATTTGACGCTCTTACGATGAACAAATGTGTTTTATTTTGCTCATTTGATTCTTTTAAAGTTTCTTTTGGCTTGCCTTTGCGATAATCAGTCTGTATAATAGTTGAAATGGCCAGATGACATGGTTTCAAACGTACTGGGTGAAGTGTTTTTTTTTTTTTAACCCCTTCTCACTTTTTTCCTCTTTTTGACAAAGGGGTCGATGTGGTATTGGTAGCCCAAAATCCTTTCTCTACTTCTTTTCAAGGCAGCTGTAGGGGTTCGACTTGATCACGGACAGATATACCTCGAGTTGCCTCAAGGTGTTTTTGTCTTTTTCTTTTTGAAGAATGTATTGTATAAAACTTTCATTAAAGTATATAAAGTTTGTACATGCAGTGAGAAATTGAAGACACTAGAGTTTGTACTCTAATAATGATTGGCTTTTTCTTTGTGGAACAATCATAATGATGAGGTGCATCAAAAACTGTTAAGGCACAAAACTAGTTGGTGTAGAGGTTTAAAAGAGTCTGTGTGAGGTGGGGTATTTTTTGTTATTATACCACATATGTATTAAGACTTCTATTCGCAGGCTGCAGATATTATTTCATTTTTCACACGTTTTAAACTGATGTAGCAAGCATGAATCAAACAGCTAGAGTTTTCTATTCTACAGATGCTTCAAAGCGAACGGGCCAAGAGCAAGTACTGCCACACAATGCTTTGTGAACCTGTTTTTTACCTAGTGTTCTGTTCTTGCAGGGGTGAATTGTTAAAAAAAAGGTTTATTTTTTCCCTCTGTTACTTGACCTCCCTCTATTTGCTAGGATTCTCCCATACCATCTGTTTTCATAATGCCCCCACTTTCATACACCTTTCTCATGTACATATAGCCAAGTTTTTTGGGGGGGATAAAATACTGTTCATCTCTAGAATGCACCATCGATGGCTGGATTTATATTTTGTATGAAAAACAAAAATGAAACAAAAAGACTGTCTTCCTGTAGTGATCACCTTGTTCAATATTGCACGAAGTGAATAAAAGGACAAAAACTTCTGTCAAAGGAGAAATGCAGGTCATAGGCTCTGGCTTTAGTCACTTTAAGCTCCTTTACAAAACAAGACAGAAGAAAACCTACTCGAGCCGTACAAGCATGGTTATTTATTGTGAAATTGTCATTCTTTTGAATTAAAAAAGTGAAAAATTAACTTATCTGTGAATCTTTGTTTTGTGCAAGTTATTACATTATTTCAGATGATGTCAAAATGTAATTTGGTAAAGAACAGCTTTGTAACAGTTAAAAGTGTTTGGGGGAAATTAAATGGAATATCTTATTTAAAGGTGAAGCAATTTGAATATTGGAACAATATTTAGAATTAATCCAAACACACAAATCTCATGTAGCAAATGCAGGGTGTTCCCTTGAACGAGGAATTCATGCTCATACACCCAGCAGAATAAATAGCAGCATTACTAATCAAAGTCCTGCAATCCTTGCACTATAAATGTAGAAAATGAGCCTCAATGAATCCTTGCAATCAAAGAAATCTGATGACAATATTGGGATTTAATAGAGGGTTAAAAGAGGAGAGGGAGATAACAGTAAAAAAAATCTTTCCATGTATTTAATAAGCAACCTTAGAGCAGATTAAAACAGATTTTTTTTTCTTTCAAATGTTTGTTTTTAAAAATGGCTCCAGACAGGAAGAGAGCAACAAGAACAATTTCAACAGAAAAGAAAACTAATGAAGAGAAACAGATCTGTGTTTCTACATACAAGTTTGAACATCTGAATCTAAAGAATTCATTCCTCATTCTTCTGAGGGGTGGGGGAAAGGACAGTTCAGGTTTGTGAAGAACATTTCATGTTTAAGTAGATGTGTCTCTTCGTTCGGTCATTCAAACATTTACTGCCTGACCGTCCTTGTCTTCACGAACCGACGCTTTACCTGAAACAAAAACAAAACATAAAATCAACAATTTGCATTATAGCAGACAGAGTATGACATAGAAAGTAAGATCTAGGCCAGATGAGATTCCATGTGGGCCTGCAGAAACCTTAGAACAAATTGTCAATATTTACTTCACCCCTATGTCATTGCAAACCAGAGTACCGTTTTTATTTTTTACCATTTTAGAACAGATAGGGTCAATAGGAATTAGAAGAAAGTAAGAAATGAACGGCTTCATCAGTAAGGATGCATTACGTTTATCAAAATTAGCTTAAAAAGTCTCAAAAGATTTGAAATTTTATATTTCGAAATTTTATTAGAAGAATACGGAGAAGAAATGTTGACCGTTTCAACGAAAAATTAAGCATCCCTACTGTTTTCAACATTGAAAAGAAATGTTGCTCGAGCACATTATTCAAACTTTATCATAGTATTCCTATTCAATGAAAAACAACAACAACATTGGATACAGTTTGGAACAACATCAGGGTAAGGTAAATGACAATTTTCATTTTAGGGAACTATTTCTTCAAGAAACATGAACTGCTTGAGTGCTCAAGGTTACAGCATGACATCAGTGCTAAAATGAAGCTCTCCCTCAGACACTCACTGACAGCTCCCCCTGCTCTGCTGCATAAGTGGATTCTCTCAGTTTGGGGCCTGCTGCACCCCTGAGCTGTTCGAGAATGGCTTCTTCCTGCGGCTCCTGTAGCTGTGTGAGTGAGTGTACATACTCTGGGCTGGACTCAAATTCTCTCTCTGTCTCTCCTTCACTTCCGTAAGTCATCCGAGACAGGCGGATGTCTTGGTTCACATGCTGTTTTCTCTGTGCTACCCTCACTGATCTTAAACAGAAGAAACACCTGCCTCAACTCCACATAAAATAATTCAATTACAGCTGGTGACAAAGTGGTGAGACAGAATGTGGCATACGATTTTCAAACAATCTTAAGCAACATTGAAAAAAAAATAATTTAAAAATGAAAGTGAAATGCAATCTATGAAAAGGCAGTTTAACAAACAGGTGCTTTTCTCATGTATAGGGCCACAAGAAAATGTGCTTCCTCTGGCCAGTGCCCATGCAAAAAGTCTTGTGCACAAGGCTGCATTTATTTGATAAAATTAGAGGTCGACCGATATGTTTTTTTTCACGCCAATACCGATCTTTTGAAATCCGGGTCGGCTGATGGGCGATTAATGCTGCCGATTTAATTTGGCCGATATTTGCTTGGTTTTTAACCTCTATAAATGTAAAAGAAATGATAATTACTTAACATAGACAAACTTTCTCAACAAAAACATTTTGTCCTTTTAAAAAATATCCTGAAACATGTATTTTTGGTTTGTTTTGTTTGTTGACGAACAAAGACAAATGGAGATTACCTAATTATCACAAAAAAGGAGAAAAAAAAAACTTTAAATGATTTAATTTTTTATATATAAGATTTATTATAATTTATTTAATTTAACTTCTAACAATAACGTATTTCACTAGTAAATTTTGTTGAACGACAAAAACAACCACCAGATGGGAAAATGATATTTTACGAAAACTTTAAATGCACCACAACGCACCGTCCGTCTGTTGTTCTTCAGACAACGGCATCCCGCTGTTGGACCTTTTAGTCTACAGTGAAATACAGTCACACTTTACACTGTTTGGCCAGCATTTTAACCATGTTTAATCCAGCTACTAACTAACGGTCAGTGTAGTTCATGAACGCGTTGATATTTAGGTCTGCTGCTCACTCGGCTGGAAAATGACTCTAGCGGCAGCGTGCGTCCAACACGTGTTCCTCGACAACACTAGGCTGCCCACAGATGCGCCTGCCTAATAATCGGCTTGATATACTTGGATATTGGCCGATGCGATTATGCTAAAAAATGTCGATTAATCGGCCGACCAATTAATCGGTCGACCTCTAGATAAAAATACAGTAAAAACTAAAATATTAAAATAACAGCCGTTTTCTATTTTATTTCAAAATGTCATTAATTCCTGTGACTACAAAGCTGATTTTTAAGCAGCTATTTTAAATGTTGAAAATGGTTGATTTTTTTGTTGGGCCAGTGAAAACCTTAATAGATTGATTAAAAGTTAAACAGTACTAAAAATCCTATTTCAAATAAATGCTGTTCTGTTACTTTACATCCATTTAATGCTGAATAAAAGCATTCATAAAAAAAAAAAAATGACCCCAAACTATTGAATTGTAGTGTACAAAATAGTATAAATGAAAATGATAGTATCCTGTGAGTAACAGGCTGCTTGCCAATAACAGCACTGATAAGTTGTTTAATTATTAATTATACTTACGCTAATAAAACACAGTTGCATACCTCTACTTCTTATAAACAACACAGACATGTATACTGCACATTGAAAGTTACAAGATACTTTTATAATTTTCATTGAATTGATTGTTTTAGTAAGCAAATTATTTAGATGCCATCCTCCTGCTAGAAAATGTCCCTTACATTCAAAGGTTAATAAATGGGTTCTACTGTACATCGTGTATCTTAGCCTGGCTGGAGCGCTGCGTTTCCCAAATAGAAACTAAGGCCAAACTTCCCAGTTTATAGCACGTCACAATTTTCTAGCTCCGAGTTGTTATATAATGGGCTTTATGCACAGCTGCACTACTTCCTGAACTTAAGCCAGCTCCTTGTTTCCTGTCTGCCATTATTGGCCAAATTGATTAATTCAGGTGTGTCTGATTATTGTTGCCGTGACTACTGAGGTCAGGCACACCTGAATGAATCAATTTGGCCAATAATGGCAGACAGGAAACAAGGAGCTGGCTGAAGTTCAGGAAGTAGTGCAGCTGTGCATAAAGCCCATTGTTTGCACTCATGGTACCAAAGACACCTCCCAAAAATGAAATATTATGGCTTTTGAGTTCTTTTCAGCATACATGAAAACAAAATGATAAATAAAATTTAATCTCTGGAAATGTTGTGAAAGCATTTATAGACCATCAAATGCAGGCCTAGTGGTAAAGTGTCAATTCTAGATTAATTTCCAGTAAAACTACAAGTGATTTATATTAAACTATGTATAATGTACAGAAAGTCACCCCGTTACCTTTGAAGGTCAATCTGTCTCTGTGGCCCCGCTCTTTTGGGCTCTGCTTCTTTCTGCTGTTTTGGTGTCTTGACACTGATTGAATCAGCTGAGGCTGTGGTGGCGGGATCCTGAGCTGGTGCTGCTCTCTTCCGGCCCCGCCCAGACCCTCCCCCTGTCGTAGCTCCAGCCTCTTTATCTGGTGTGACAACACCCGCAGGGTTTTTAGGGGGTCGGCCACGTCGTGGTTTATTGGCAGGGGGTACTGTCACTGCAGAGGGGTTTGAAGACACACTGTTCTCTGTGCCGTCACTTGCAGGTGCAGCACGTTTCTTCCCACTGGGCTGAGCAGCCTCTTCCTAAAAAAGGGAGCAAAATAACTGAATAAGGGACAACAGAAGTGTGAAAGTCCAGCAATATTTTGATTGTTTACATGGGATATTTCTGACCTTCTTTACACCTCCTGCTTTTGTAATGACTGGATTCTCTTCATTCTCCCTTGCCCCCATCTCTGAAGCCTCAGAACTCACATCCCTTTATGGGAGAGAAAGAGAAAGTTGTAAACTCTTGATAAGGATGACACACTTCCTGCGGTAAAGATTAACCAACGCTGTGTAAATTCTACATCATAGAGAACGAAAAGTAAAAAAAATAAAATAAATTCGATAAGCACAAACCTGCTCTTATTTGTTGCAGGCGAGCTGGGTTGGGAGTTAGTGCTTGCGTTGCTCCCTGTGTCAGAGGTGGTGGTTTTAATGAACGGTCGCCGAGCAGTTACCGTTAAAGGTTTGTTCACTGCCCCCAACACACCTGTCTGCTTTGGTGGTTGCTGAAAAATATGAATGTGTTAAGTAACAAATGAGCTACGTAATGCAGTCAAGGAATTCAATTAGTAGTTGCATCATTTCAATACAACTTTCCAAAAAGAAGTCTGTCACACTGATCTATCCCTGTGTCCAGATAACTCCCAACAAACTAGGAGTTCCTAAACTTTTTGTCTGCTGAACCTAAAATACATTTCCTTGGAGATTATGAGTAATGTTCTAATGTTTGAATTTAGTGAAAAATATATGCATGCACTCATTTTTTATAAATACCGGCAATTAACACTACTGGTCGGTATGATTTATTAATGTTTGTGAAAAGTCTCTTATTATCAGCAAGGCAGCATTTACTTTATATTGTGAAATATTACAATTTAAAATGAATTTCTATATATATTTTTACATTTAAATGTATTTGTTCAAAAAACACTAAAAACAATATTGTGTAATGTTTACACAGTTTAAATGAACTGTTTTCTATTTTAAAGTATAATTTATTCCTGAGATGGCAAAGCTGAATTTTCAGCATCATTACTCCAAAGCTGTGTCTGAAATCGCTCCCCATCCACTATATAGTGCACTATATCAGGTGTCTGCCATTTTGTAGTGATGTCCGAATTCTGAGTGAACGACAACATTCCCTACATTCATTCACTACTTTTACCCACAATCCTCTCTGAATTCGAGTGTACATTCGATGTACACTTGCTGAAGCCCTTAAGCGAGCAAGTTTAAACCAGAGATTACATTACATCCAGTGGAGGATTTGAAAAATATCCGTTAATCGTCGTTAGGAAGCGTATTCGTTTGAATATAATAACGGTCGCCGGAGGGCGCTCGACGACACGTCATCTGTGAACGTGAGAGTTACAATTTCAGTCGACGAAACTACAAAGCTGGCACGGAGGTATAATTACAAAATAAAGTCATTATGATTGTTATTGTTGTTAATATTATTTTATAAAGTAGGTATTGTAAGATAAAAGGAGTTTTATCAGTATGCGTGACAAAGCTTTTTCTGCGACAGCTCCAACTCTCCGACGCACAGTGTAAACGTCAGCGTCCGAATTCACTCACTTCATCTCGTTCACTCCTTGCAGATATAGTGCACTCAAATGCCATACACTATATAGGGGTTAGTGAATGAGTGAGCGGTTTCAGACACAGCTCAAGTCTTCAGTGTCACATGATCCTTCAGAAATCATTCTAATAAGCGGATTTGGTGCTCAAGAAACATTTTTTATTGTCAATGTTGAGAAGAGTCGTAGCCTGGATGCCAGCCCGAACCCCTCCCACAACATTTTTTGGTGGGGAAGTTTGGTCTGGACTCGATCCATTGAGAAGTAATTATGATCGGTTTAGAAATTGTAGGGCCAATCAAATTGCCAGGGAGGGCTTTATACGACAATGGACAGATGATCGGTCGTAGATATCAGTTACGTAATCATGTTATCAAAGAGCAATTTGGTTCAACTGGTTTGGACTGCAACTGGAGAATTGAGATGAATAGATTCCGCCATCACGTCTGTTGTAAAAGAAATCGACGGCGCATTCATTTTAAAAGACGAACAGAGAAGTGCATTCAAGGCATTTGTCGATCGGAAAGGTGTGTTTGCCGTCCTTCCAACAGGATCCGGCAAAAGTTTAATTTATCAGCCCTCTCCGATGGTCGCAAAGAAGATGGGATGTGGTCGTTGTGGTTTTTCCTTTGGTCGCACTCATGGAGGACCAAGTAAAAGAAGCAACACTCATTATTTTACTACTTCCAGCGTGAGTGCAGTTGAGATCTGTTGACAACTATGCATAGCTTCTCTGATTGGTTGTTGGTCTACCATTTGGAGAGTTTTTTTTCCTGGTTTGGTTAAGACACGCCTCATAATCAAAGCCCTATCGAGCAGTCTCAGACTCACATTCTGACTAGAATATGAGTATGACGAAGACAGGCTAGAACAGATTTGATGCTTTATAGAAACCATACTTTTTTTTCTTCCTCAAAACTTTTGTAACAATGTAAGGCTTTACTGTCACTGATCAATTTAATGTGTTCTTGATATATTCATTTCTTTAAAAACAAACAAAAAAACAACAACAAAGTTGCCAACCAAAAACATTTTAACGTAGAGCAGTAATCAAGCCTTTGCCATTAATGAATGTTTACACAAATGTGTCATCTGGGTATCATTCACATACAGAGGTGACAAAACTTACCTGGATTTTCCCTGTCTGCAGAACTATTTTTGCCTCTGGTGAGAGATACTCCTTATCATTGACAAAATCCTGTACATAGGAAAAGATGGAATGAGTTTGGTAGTCAGGTCACATGTAAAGCGCAATTATGGATAGTCAGATTGGTTGTTACCTTATCAGGTGGGGTAAAGAACTTGCTAGGCAGCACAGGATCTTTTGGGGAGTCCAGATGACATGAAGTGCTCTTGTTTGCGATCACAAATAATGCCACATCACACACAATGTAAAGTTTCTGTAAATGCATGAAAATAGAGTAAAACACACTGGGATTCAGAAACACAAACACTCTACATGATTTGTTGTTGATACGGACCTCGTTTGCCTTTGGGTCGTCTGGGGCCTGTGCATCTTTTGTTTGTTTGATGTTCTCAACCATCTTCCTCAGGAATGAGTGGCTGTTATTCTCATTCTTTGTCATCAACACCTCCAGCATGAACCACAAGCACCTGGTAAAATACATTTTCATCTGAATTAGTTTAAAAAGTTTTAAAACAAACATCCTGTGAGAACCTTAGTGCCTGTATCTATTCACTCTACTACTATCTACTACTCAGAAATAAAAAGAGAAGGTTTAGTATTACAATTTGAGAGTATTGGTCAGATCATGTAGCTTTCTGTGTATAGAAGGGGGAAACTGCAAAAGTTCGTAAATCTGTATAACAGTCATACTCTTTGACGTCTCTGATCTGCTCCAAATCCTGTGGCTTGGTAAGGTCTGGATCATGAGCTAGAAGATGGATCATGTATGGTACCACGTATTCTGGGAGGAGAGACAGCAGCTTTTCTGAAAAACCAGAATAGGAGAACAGGCAGGATATTTAAGTCTTTGTCATTCATGCAATCCTGTAGAAAATAGTTATTGCCTCAGTGTTATAGCAAAAGACAGAAATGTTATCTACCATGGGCCATGGGATTCTGTTTGATGTACTCTCTGCGGACACTGATGTTCTTGAGTAGGCACTGTCGGGCATGAGCACGTCGCTCTTTCACTGGGTCTTTAGCGCACAAAGCAAACACAGCCATGTACTCCAGTGGCAACAACAACTTCACCAGGGCAACATGTAACTTTTGAGCAAAGATCTGCCGCACCTGATAGCACTCATCCTATGAAGAGAGGGGAAAGGGAAGGAAATTCTGAAAAAATGCAAAGTTGTGGTAGTATGGCTAATATATGCTTTTGTAGCATGCCCTAACATGTCCACTTATGTTAGTCAATGTTTCATGTACCAACAGACAGCCATTTTGTACAACTGTTTTTGCTGCTGTACTTTTAAGACCGTTGTAAATAAAATGACTACAATTATGCATTTCCAAGACTCTTTTATCTGAAGTGTTAATGTATTCAAGGTAACAAATTAAATTATTGGACTGCACGCATTAATGTTAAATTCACTTGAAGCAACTTATTTATAGATAGTACAGAATTAAGCCATTAAAATGAGATCATTGTAATTTTAATATAATCTAATAACTTTATAGCTACATAATAATTTTATTATGCGTTTCATAAGAGTCCAAGTAGTCTTGTACTGAACTTACATTAATGACGAGTCCACAGAGCTGAAACTGCTCTGGAGTGATGATGTCATGGTAACAAGGCTCTTGTGCCAGTTTCATGATGGCGCTCCCCGCTGCAAGCCTCAGTCGAGACATGTCAGACTTGCTGTGTCCACAAACACACAGGTTAGAGGCCTATTACAAGATTAGGGCAGCTTTCATAATTACAGAAAATTACTTTGGAGAGTCCTGACAGCCAGTTAGTACCTGATTTTCTTTTGCTCGGTGAGGTCTCCCTCACTGACCAGCATGGCTGAGAGGAGTCTGAGAGTAGAGTTAGCCGATTTAGACTGATTATTCCTCATTCCCAGCAACCAGCGGACCAACAGCTTAATGGCTTGCACCTGGAAACACAGACATGCACATGTATACACACACACACAAATGAACAAGATATGTTGTTTTCAACCTGATTACTCAAAGACATTTACCTTAGCCAGCACTTCAGGGGAAACCTCATCATCAGCTGTCCAGAGGCGCCCATTCTTGTTTCCCACAGACTGACAGGGAAAGAGGGTTAGTTTACCATGCGAGGCAATAAAATGATTCCTACATGCCCAAAGCAGAATAATACATCAATATGCTCACTCTGTCATTCATCAGAAGGTCCTTCACGATAAAATTGGCTACGATTGACTTCATGGGTGACGCAAATTGATCCGGGGCCAGCATGGAGATGTGTCCAAGAGACACGAGTGGAGTGATCAGCTGTTCAGGCACATCTGCATTCAGACTGCGAGACAATGGCTGAAGAGACCGAGACAAAAAGGCATATATGAAAAATGTGCCTGCCGTAAAAACTCAATTTCTTTCATTATCGTAACATTCACAGGATTTGACGGTCAAACAAATGTGTGTGTTATACATTTGGTGGCATTTTAAGCAAAGACTGCATTTGTGAAAATGCTTTTATGCACATAGATTTACCTCAAATATTTGTGCTAACTGGACCTCTTTGTTGTGAAAGATGGCATGGATGCAGTTGACCGCCTGTTTGGCCTGGTGGGGGGTCCCTCGTTTTGCCTTCTGATGTAGTATGGGAATTAGAGTCCTGTACACAGATTTAGAGAACATTCAACTACACATTTTTTCTTTTGAATTTGGTATTAATAAAGTTTGATGAGACTGAAGAGTTTGTATCAGTAAGTATATAATGAGTTTAAGATGTTGTTTCTGGCTCCGTGTATGCATTTGGGAAGTGTTCATACGAGCGGATTTGTGGCAGTTCAGTCTCGATCTTTTGTCCCGTGTTTCTGAAGATCTGTATTGCTGCTTCCGCCACTTTATCGTCCTCCATCTTCAGACACTGCAGCAAGGACTCATAAGTCTCAGCTGAGTGGAATGCAGTGGGGTGAGTAAATGACAAAACCTGAGAAAGGAAAAACAGAACAGCAAACTTTGAACTTTTTTTGGGTCCGGACAAAAAACAAGAAAGAAAATACATCTAGTCCTGCTTCGCTTAGCTTAACACTGAACCTAAAGAAGATTTTTTGATGTATATTTTGTGACGGAACTTGTCGAACATCCAAAACAATGCTGTGTGCTGGGCCAAATGCACTCACTGTAAGTGTGTACAAATGATGGTATATGATGGAGCTGACCACACGTGAAGAGCTTATAAAAGGTGTAATGGTGTCAAAACAGCGGCAGGAATTCCTCCGTCACACGCACAAATGAAGATCTGCTGCCTGTACTGAACTATGATGGACAACATCGTGACTATGAGGAGAAAAAACAGCTATGCTTGATCATTAGGGGTTGGGTACCGAAACTCGGTGCCAATAGGGAACCGGTCAGACGTAAACGGTAGTAACCAGACCGAATAAGAATGAAAATTTCAGTGCCTGAGTCTGTGGCATGAGGCGCACACACGCAGTCTCTCGCTCTTCTCCCTCTCCTTCTCCTACGTCTGCTGATAGCGAAAGGATTAATGAAGATGACGAAGACAAAACGCTGCAAGGTTTGGCTGCATTTCACGTGTAAAATTACGCGTCAGAACGATTGTCTGAAGAATCAGAAATAGAATCACGATTCACACCCCCTTGACGCTCACGTCATCATATTATATTAGTGCGTGCATCATCTACTCCTCAAATTTTTCTGCCGAAAAAGAAAGCTTGTCAGCAGCGCGAGGAGTTTGGCAGAGAACGCAGCGTCTCGTTCCCTATTCAGAGAACATGGGTTACACATAGGGCTGGGTATCGATTCACATTTCAATTTCGATTCGATTTCGATTCGCAAGCTCTCAGTTCGATTCGATTTCGATTCTCGATTCGATTTTCGATTCTCGATTCCTGATTTGATTCTCGATTCAACTATAATGAAGATGTAATAAAAATCCTATATTTATAATTTATAAAAAAGAACAGTGGACATAAGTTTACTAGTGGTTAATTAATACAAGAAAATTAAGAGCCATAAACCTGTATATAAAACTCTTTTTATTTTAGGTACACTAAATGCATACAAAGATTTTGATGCAATATGCAAAAAAGAGTCGCACAGAACAGTCGCACAGCTTGATCAAACAGTATCATGTTATTTTATGTTTAAGATAGATAAATATATAAATATTTAGACATTTTTTACATTGATCTTACCTAAATGTTAATGTATTTTTTTTGTTAAGAGTTTATGTATGGATGCTTGATTTCAATCTTTGAATTAAATTGAAAAAAGTAGCACAAATAAATACAATAGAATAAAGACAAAAATTAAGAGACATTTTGGGGTAGTTTTTTGGGTATGTCAGATATACTACAGAAACTGAATAAAGTAATCCAATGTAAAATAACACTGGATAGTCTTTTTAGTCCAGACTGAATTAAATACAAAGGCTATTAATTCTGATTGCTTACAATTAATACTATATTCTGTTGTTATGACAACAGAATTAATGACTGACACAAATGGCTGCGTTCACTTTAAGAACTAGTGCGCGAATCCATTACTGTTTCATTAACTTTCTGTCACATGCGTTTAATGCTAATTTAAGACATTACTGACTGTCTTTACGAGGTTACTCACCAAGACCAGAGTTTTGACATAATGTTGCGTGTTTTAACTGTTAAAGCGATATAATCCAGGGATAAAACTTTTGTTTCTGGCGAGCTGTTTGTGAGGCAGATTTAGGCTGTGCACGCAGTGAAAGAAATCTCTGAGAGTGCGCGAGCACGGGATGGTTTAACATTGCTTGAGCAAATGAATGATAAATGTTAGTTACGATCATAGGTCACGATGCAATGCTGGCCCGATTGTGCAAGTGAATATTCCGTCGTGTCCCGACTCCTAAACGCGTGTGTGTTTCAACAGCTGCAGTTAGCGCTTGCCTAGTGCAGAGAGACGAGAAGACGCCGCACCGCGTCCGCGAGCCCTTTATATGGAAAAAAATCGATTCGTGGCCGTTGAGAATCGATTTTGAATCGACCACATTTTAAAAAACGATTAATCGAAAAATCGATTTTTTTGCCCAGCCCTAGTTACACAGAGACATTCTCTTTCATATGTTTACTCAAAGCTGTGTAGCTAAGACACAGTGGGAACGAAAATATCAAACTGGCTAAGAGCTTAACTAGTAAATGACCAACCAGATATCTTACATGACTAGTTCAAGCAGACAAAACATGGGAACCTGTAGCCATGTCCATATTATATTGCCCTGGTAGTAATCTCTATTAATCTCCAGTATAATTTGTTTGATACAATATTGTTTTATTTGATATTATGTAAAAGTGAACTTTTATTTTATATTGGTTTATTTATTATTACCATATGTTTCTTGTATTTATATTGTAAGTCAATATTGCGTCCAGTTTGGTCCTGTAAATAAAGGGGTATTATTTTTTGACAGTGTGTGCGGTTTCGTTTTCTTAAATACCGTTTCAAGAACCGTTTAGGCACCGGAACCGTTTAAAAAATACCGAGTAGGTACTAGTATTGGATAAAACCCAACCGATACCCAACCCTATTGATCATTCTGTCCTTTTAAGGTTGCATCTTGTGACATGTCCTGTTTTTGGTTCGTTTAGTCATTAGGTCATGTCTTTGGGTCATCGTTTGTTTCAGTTCGTGTGTGTGCAGACCAAGACCCATATTTTCAGCTATCCCGATCTGCGCACTAAGGCTCGGATGGCAGCTTTTACACTTATTCAAATTAACCGCACTAACAGAGCTATCGCACCAGGGTTCCTTTTAATCTAACCAAACATGGCAGGTGTGAACACACCCTAAAATATTGAAGAATATTACTAAATGAGTCAGACACTTGGTTGGAACAATAGCCTATGCTTTTGTAGCAATTTACTTTTATTTGTACCAATTTTAAATGTGATTGTATGTCTATATAGTACTTAAAACTTGTTTAAGAAAAAGCAAGAAATTCTGTTTACCCTTATATTGAAAACTTTAAACTAGTACATTGTAAATACGAACAGTACCTTAAGCAGCTCAAGTCCAGCACGGATGGCAGTATCAGGAGTAACTCCCTCATCTTCATCATCAGCAGTGCCCTCAATTGATTTATTTAACAGCTTAACCAGGGCACTATATACACACACACACAAAACACATTATTATTGATCCAAAAAAAAAGTCTACACAATACCTGTAGTTACACTTCATCCCCACAAGATGTCTCACTGTTAAAAAGCTATTCAGACAGTTACACAACCGCTAAGGGGGGGAAACAAGCACATGGCCCATATTGCGCTTATCTCTCTCCCACTCAGTTTCTCTTTCTCTCTTATTCATGTTCTCCCTTTACATCTGCAGGTGCACTGACAGTCCTTATCGGATACCGTTGTTTAAAAAAAGAGAATACATTCTCTGTGACTGTGCTTCACCCTGTCTGCAGTTATTTTGCAAGTGTTCAAATTAGAGTTTTAGGCATTGTAGTCAATGTACGGTATTTTTACAATAGTTGTTAGAGTAAATGTAATAAAATAGAAATAAATATAGTAAAATATAATTCAAGTTATATTTTTTATGTCCAAAACAATTTATGCTCAAGATCATTGACCCATCCCTTGTAAATAAATAAATAAATAAACAAATAGTTATAAATGTTAAATGCATGAACGTACATTTTTTTTAGTGTTCAGACTAAAAACTAAACGACTACATAACAAAGCACACTCAGCCAGATATCTGGGGCGCCAATTTCAACAAAGCCTGTTAATCTGAAAACCTGGATGATGGTCACTAACTACTACTCCCTTCAAAAAAAACATTCTCAAAACCAATTCTCATATGCCATTTGACCTCATTCCCTACCTGATGGCCTCAGAGTCGATGTGAACTGGTGCGATTCTCTCCAGTAGGAATTTTACCATCTCCAGGAATGGGTTTGTGGGTTGCTTGGGGAATGTCAGCTTCCGTGTTATTTCCCTCTGAAAGGAAACTCCACTCTTAGATAACTTGTATCTTTATAATATTAAATACATAGCTTCTTAAAGTGTTGTGTTGTAGTAAAGTGTTGAAACATGTCTTAATCATATACATTTTATACAGCATGCTTATAATTAGTTATAATGTGAGCTTGAAACGTGCAGTAGTAAATATGATGGTTTTGCCTTAAACTCACCACACACTGTTCAGCCTGTTTACAGGAGCAGGTGGGGCTGATGAGCTGCTCAAGCTGAAGACGTAGTTTCTCATCTTCACCCAGAGCCTGATTAAACTTCTTCATAAAGTCCTGAGCTTTGCCTGGGTCTGGGAGATTCTCTGAGAATATGAGAGAGAGAGAGATGGACAAAAGCACACATTGTAAAACCTGTTGGTTTCAATAACTATTAATTTATATTTATATATATATATATATATAGTGTGTGTACTTACTAGCGATGTTCATAAGTTTTCCAAACATGGCTGTGGTATTTGCTTCAGACTGCAGGAAGAGAAAATCAACAGTCATGCCTCCACAGCAGCAAAATTCATATACACTCATATACACACAAGTTGCTATTAGCCAATGTTGTACCATTACATATTTTTGTCTGTCACTGACATCTGTCATTTGTATGCTTCGGCATGTAAAAGTGACATAAAAATAATAATGCCCTTTGATGTCTTATAGAATATTTTCATATAAATGCATATCCAGTATAATAGGACATGCTGTGGACATGGCTGACATCTACACACCAAAACATCTTGATTTATAATTTGATACAATACCTAGAAAAATATAAATATTCAATACAATATTTGATACTACTGGGATATGTATATTCTTGTACTTTAACAGAAGTAAAATTATAATATTTATCACCCAATTTCTTCACTTGCAAGAGTAAAACCCTCAAGCTTTTATTTTAGCAGAAAACTGCAGGGTAAGCTATAAGTGCTTGTGAAAACAGGTTTACAAATTGTTGATGTGTACAAATTACAAATGAGGCATGTTTGGTTCTAGATAAAGGGAGGACGTAGCGCTGTAAGATCATTACCATAAACGGCCCTGAGCGCTTTTGGAGTCAACCACTGTTGTTTCGATGCGCTTCAAACTTTAAATAGAAATGGTAAAATGGTGTTACAGTTGACAGTTGATCCCTTCCCTTTACCTCTGTACAGATAAAATGGTCAAAATAATTCCTTCTTAAGGCCAGACAGATAGTTTGCTGAGGTCAATTTGTAGAGAAAGACTGGACGCCTGCGCACATACATACATACATATATATATATATATATATATATATATACACACACACACACACACACACACACACACACACACACACACACACATATATATATATATATATTCAAATGCACATACATAGACTAAACACGTAATATGCATGTGCACGCCGTCGAGAGCTTTCACATTTTCGCATTTTTGAAGTTCTTTTGAAACCTTTTTTTTTTAATTATTCAACACCTCCAACTTGGAAACTATTTATGGTCAGTTTTAACACTGGTGTGTTTGTGTGCATATTCTAATAGTAGATTCACATATGTACTGCAGGTGACAGTATCAGGGACAAAACTCACACAAACGACGAAGGAACTGAGGAAAAAAAAAAAAATCACGATCCAGAGACGTTTTTTTTTAAAAAGTTAAACTTCTTTTAAATTGAGTACCACATTTTTAAAAGCGCAAAAGATGAAAGACGCAAGCACAATGGTCAAATATTTCCTTCTAGCTTGTGTTTACATAGAAAAACAATGGGGGGGAAAATGCAGTGCAATGGATAAACACATTCTGTGTGAACGGCCCCATAGTGTTTTCGTGCGACTTACTGTAGGCAGTTTGTGTAAGTCCAGCAGTTCTCGAACCAGCCCTCTCAGCATATTCTGACACTTCCACATTTCATTCAGTGCTCTGAAAAACAAATAGACACTCTTCTTGATATAATGGAGCACATCAGTAGGATGATTGCTGTTAATAGAAGTACTGTGATACTGCCCAAAACTGTCAGATGAGAACCAGAGACACTCTCTTGGCAATCTGATGAGGCTTTTGAAAAAGAAGAATCAGTCGATTAAGACTCACTTGACTGCGTTAGTGTCCAGACAGGCATAAAGGTAGTACAGACACTTCATCTTCTCTTCAGTCTCCAGACTGTGAGGAACCATGTACTGTGCAAAGATCTTCTCCACCAGCAACCTAATACACAAACACACTTTAAGTATCTGAAGTTTCCATATTAGACATGCTGCACTGTTTTAATGAAAATACATTTTTTAATTAACCACATGACAGAACTTGTGTACACATGCGTGTGTGGCTCCTACTTGTCATCTATGCTGTTCTGGTAGTAGATGTGTAAGAGTTTGTCTTTAATCCAGCTGATTTTCAAAGCGGTCTCCTTCCCGGCCTCATGGTGCAGACAGTACTTCTTATACAGTTGAGCCAAACCCATCATTCCTTCTTTACGGACACGCCACTGAAACAAAACATACAAATGTGCTTTTAAAAACCAGAGGGCATAAAATTTAGGGATATGTGGGGTTCTAAAAAATTTTTTCTCCGTTTTCTTTGCATTTACATTTCAGCAGGATTTGAATTGGGGCTTCACGAAAAATCAAAACAAAACTGATACTGGATTGTGAGAAATATTATCTATCAAATATATATTATATATCTATTAGATAATAATTACAAATTGTATTAATTACTATAGAATTATTAATTATTACATTTTTTTTACAGCGCAATAGTTTATTTGGCTTCATATTATGTAATAATGAAAATAAAATATTAATTATTTTATGGTCATAAATGGGTCACATATAATGGGAATGTAGCCTATGAAAGAGTTTTTTTGTACAGAGTATAACCAAGTGTGAACACCCAAAGTAATTTAAAGTTTTTCAGAATTGTTTAGTCCTAAAAGGATGGTTGACAAAAAAAATCTTCAGAGTAAAATGTAATTTTTCAGCTTTTTAAAATTAATGTTCTATGTAGATTCACGCCCTAATATAAACAACCCCAATACTCATTCGAGAATGATTCACTCTTTCCAAATGTAGCTATTTAAGTGTTCTATTAAAAAAAATCCTGTATTATTTGGTCATATTGCATGTATCATATATTTTGCGGAGAAACTAAATATTGCAATGCTAGTTTTTTACAGTATCGTGCAGCCCTAACTTGAATTGAGCACAGATCAAAATTTTCAGTACTTCAGAGTAACTCTGCATCTTTCTCACCCTCTTATCCAACATCCTCTCTCTGACGAACCCCAACAGTTGATCATTCACCAGGTTCAGGTCTTTCTTCCCTGCATTGATGATGGTTACAATGACATCATGTCTGATTGCCTCCTCCGGGTCATGTGACCTCACCTTCAGAAAATCTGATGTGACAAATAGCACATCACAAGTTACACAAGATGCTTACGAGTCAAGCGATGCTTGAAATGGGAAAATGATGGGAAAACAGCAAAAATCACATTTAACCTGAACACACCTGTAAGATCCTTGGCAAGATCTGGGTGGTTCATCAGGCAGTGGCTAGCAAACTTCACACATTCCAGTCTCACAGGAACATGAATGTCATTGAACCTTTGAGGGGAAAAAAGGTATAAAATTATAAATATTCCAAATCAGTCTTTCAGTCCAATTTTATTAATGGTAGGATAGCCTCACCTGCCAAGAAAACACTGCCAGAGTGGGCGATTCTGAGTGGCCAGTTCAGAGTCTTTTGCTCCAAATAGTTTAGCCAACAGTTTCACCACAGCCAACCTCTCCTCTCCATCATTGCTCTATACAAACAACAACAAACAGATGTATTATTGATCTAAATATGTTTCTATGCAAGCAAGTGCACAAGTATATGTGCATTTAGTCACCTTCAATTTGAACTCAAGTTGTGGCATCACAGAGACAAGGAGCAGAGGGTCAATTGCAAAGAGCTCCTGAATGAGGTCAAATACATGCTCAGACAGATCACTCACGGAGGACTTTCCCATCACCAAAACCTGATTAAAAAACTACAGAGAAAGAGATTTTTAGGTTAATACAACATCTGAAACAGTATTTTGTCTTTTTTTACAATGGGAATGGAACATTATAACAATGAACTGTACTAAATTCTGGAAAGACAGAACAAAAACAAATTATTTTGTGACTCACTGAGGCGATGCAGGTTTCGATGGTTTGAACCGTTCTCTTCAGAAGAGTCTTGGCCAGGTCATATGCCTGCTTATTCAAGTTCTAAAGCACAGAAAGAGGTCGAATCACACACTATCTGGAACTGAACTTGGAAATAAGATGCAAGAAGTCATTTGCCTACTTTGTGAGCAGGGATGAGGTTGATGAGGATTGTGTCTAGTAGCTCCTGCGTCACTCCATCTCCCTCCATGATGATGGAACTCATCAGGTCCAGCATGTGCATCTGCACCTTCTGATTATGGCTGTTACTGAAAGAGAGAAGTCCTGATTAAAAAGAGCCCCGTTGAGTAACAGAAGATATGATTAAACTCACTTAAAATTAAACTTACTTGATGACAGAAAATAGGGTTTTGAAGAGCTGGATGAAGATCTCATTACAGTCCTCCAATTCAAAACAGATGTTGTAGGACTTCACCCATGCCAGGTTCTGTGCAGGTCAAGTTAAAAATTTCAGCTATGACAATCAGACTACAAGCTAAATTTTAAAATGTAAGACAGACTTGTAATTATTGCTGCTATGTTGCTGATAAAAAAAAAAAAAAAACTGAGCATGAAAATTTAATTTTAATTTAAACATCCACACAAAAGATATTTGTCAAAATGCAGAATTGAAAAGATAAATAAATTAATGATTTTTCTTGAAAGACTGATTGAATGAACAATCTCACCTCTAGCAAGTAAAAATATCTGTTGAACTGTGGGCTCTTAGTGTCCTCTAATCCCTTCAACTGCCGTGTAATGAAGAGAAAAATTTCCTAGATGTGGGGAAAAAAGTGAAAATTAATTAATCTGGTGTGCCTGGGCTATAAAGCTAATCTCGAATTAAAGAAAGGATAAAAAAAAGAGTCAGTTTGACATGAGGTTCGCACCGGATAGTTCTAAAGGCGTACTCTGAAGTGGCGTAAACCCTAGTGTTGTTGTGATTTTTGATGGCGCAGAGAACCTTTATTTGCTGCAGAGAACGCCAGAGCGTGAGCTCACAGCACTCGCATTTTCCCTGTTCATTAGTTTACTATCTGTCAAATATGATATTAGATAGAACTATTATACGTAGAAAGAAGACAGTAATGAAAAGTTAGTAGCTCTTGGTCCCCTCAAAGTTGCGTGGGATTTTCTCCTCAGCGTGAACGTTAAGAGGCCCATCTATCACTGTTTTCACTGTTACTTTGTGGAGTAAATATATAGGCTATAATCTGTGTGTTTACTAGGGATGCAACAATACAGTTAGTCCATGGTCCAATACATACCTTGGTTTTTTTAACCACGGTTTTCGGTTCGGTACTGATGGCTTGACACATAAGAGTTTTTTTTTATTATTATTCTATGCTTAGCCAACAGGAACAGTAAGAGGTTAAGGAGAAAATTCAAAAAATTAAAACAATTTATTGCAATACTCATTTATTGCAAGAAAAGTCTACTAGTTCCTACTGTAAAACTTCAAATAATATCAGTCCCAAATAGACGTCTGTCTCTTTTACACGCCTGGTGTGTCTGCAGGTTTGGGTAAATAAAAGCCGGTCTCAAACAGAGGCCGGGTATGTTTTTTAGTTTCGTGTTGTTAATCAAAGCAAATTATTGTCCCGCCAAAGCCTATTTTGATCGGTGTGTGATGTAGAATAGAATGACTGCTGCGCTTGACAGGGCCATAGACTGTAAAAAAGATGGACGACGCTGCTCCACTCTTTTCCATCGGAGAGAACTGAAGCCGCCATGTCCCGATATGGCGCTGACATCTTGGGACTTGAGTCTGCGCACTTTGTGTTTTCGGGACCAGACATGCGCAGTCGTGAGCAGGAAGTAAAGACGCGAAATCAAGGCCACGCCCTCACTCTCGCTGAATCTTTTGCAAGCACACCCCCGCACATTTCTTAAGTGGCCTTTGTCTCCAATGATGTCCGCTGATTGCAGTACCTCGTTAAAATAAGGTAAATACAACTACTAACCAGAGTCAACATTATGAACAAAAGTCCGCTGGTGCTTCAGCAGTGACTACTACTCACAGACAACCTGTCAATCACAGATGTCAATCATGATGTCATAGCACCGTATTTAAAGCATCAAATAACTAACTAAATACAAACTTATTTTAAAAACAAAAAATTGAAATTACATCAGCGTGATATAAATGACAGAAACTATCTTTGGATAAAGGATATGTGAAGTGTATTTTAATTGTTTAGTTGGTCACATCCCGTTGAATAACATGGTGAGGTGAGGGTTATGACCTATACTAGGACCTGTCACAGGGTGGCGATCGAGACGTTTTGGCTTCACTTTTGTGGGCTTGTGCGGCATGCTTGGACAGGGCACATAACGAGCAGAGAGAGAGAGAGCCACGCGTGCGCACTCTCAAGTCTTCAAACAACACAAGCTCAACATAGTGTGAACTACATAGTGCTGGTTTAAGCCCAACTCTGAAGTAGGAGCTTAATTAGTTCCTCCAAAAGAGTTCCTAGAACTAAAATCGTTCCTAGTTCCTGTGGTGCGAATGCACCAAAATCCAGGATCTTACACCAATAATACTAGGAACTATGAAAAGGTGTGAAAGCAGTAGTTTATCAAGAAATTCAAATACAAGATGTTTATCTTTTCAGGAGTAAATTTCATACCTTGAGCTTGTCATGTGAGGTGTATGGGGCCTCTGGAGCATAGATCCTGAAGATGTCAGCGAGACAGCAGGCCACGAGTAACCGTACATCCTTGTTGGGGTTTCGCAGGAAGAACTCAGAGGCCAAGTGAAGAGCCAGAGCCAAATACTGCTGCTTTTCCTCCTCTGAGTCTTGATCCATGTCCATATACGTCTTGACCACCAGCTAATAGACAGACAGGTTTTATAGTATAAGTAAAATCCCAAACCATTTAACAATCATTTTCTAAAACAATTAAATACAATTTCTAAAAGGTAAATTCCTCTACAGGAAGCAGTATCTGCTGATACCGATCAATTTGAAGCTGCCTTTTTATCATGTATTTAAACTATTAATAGGGATGCTTCACTGCTTCCTAACTATTTATAGGGATGCTTCAATCAGGATTTATACAGACATTCATTTAGGGCCTGAATTTCATTATTTAAAATGGGGGGAAGCCCCCCCTCAGGTGACTATTGTGGGGGGATTTTTTAATTGGGGGGTTTAATTATCTCACCTAAATGTTTGATCATCCAGTGGATTTTTTGTTTTTACAATGGCAGGGCTCCATGCTATCTTTTTGCCTTGGTTGCACTGGTGCGCCTAACTTTTTTATTTAGGTGCACCTGCACAAAATTTAGGTGCACTCAATTTTTCTTTAACGCCACAATTTCAAAGTCACCTTTGTATCACACTCCATATATTCATATATATTATGTAAATGCTTTTAAAAAAGAATAAGTTGTGGGTTTTTTAAGCAAAATTATACTGTATATAAAAATATTAATCTTTAAAAAAAATTGTTTAAAAAAAATTTTAAAAATTAAAAATTGAAAAATACATTGTTCAAATTAGGGCAGGGTATTGACACCAATTTCACAAATCGATTCAATATTGATTATTTTGGATATCAGGTACAATACATGGCAAATGTTCTCAAGGAAAACAAATCTCAACTAATGCTGTAAAACTGGGAGTCAGTTGTAGCCCACTATGCTTCATTAGCCTATAATATTGAAGCTAAAAATTACCTGATTTGTACACAAACACTTAAATTACACTTTTATTTATTTTATAATAATAATGTTATATGAAATATAAACATTTAAATGGTGGCTGCATAAAAACTTGCCAGATTTTTTTTCAAACAAATATTAAATATTGCATTAAATATTGAACAATTTAATAAATTATAATGAATATGTAATATGGTGCATGTATTTGGCAAAATGCTGCTCTAGAGTAAATTTTTTCTAGCTGGCTAACGAGTTTATGGTCACTGGATTTTTTTTTTTTTTTTTCTGAGGTAAATATGATGTTACATTACATTGTTTACACGCCTTTTACTGACGTCTTTCCACGGTTGAATCACTGATTGAGGAGCCTGATCTCATGAAAGTTCGTATCTATATCACGAATGTCATTTCTCGTGGCATTTATACGCCTATAGACAAATTGCCGCAATTGGTCTGACTGGCGCGTTAGAGAGACATGGGTGCACACGCTCGCTTACCTCTCTGCCGTCGTGCGCGAGCCGCGGTTAGGAGCTCAACATCTCGCTTGCACGCTCGCACTAGATTTCAGGATATTTTAACTTGCGAATTAATATGCGGTGGTAAAACTAGTCGATCACGAGTTGCTCAACAGGTAGATCTATAGACAAACTCATCTTTCAGGCATTTGACCGAAGGGATTGACACTTCAGCGTGAGAAATCGGGGGTATGGCGTGAGAGTGAGAATTGGCTCAATTGCGCGAGTCTCACGCTGAATGCGTGAGTTGGCAGACACATTGCATCTTGTTCTCTCCCTTTATAAACATATAATGATCCCAAAATTTAGATATTTTCTGCCATTTATGAAGTCAAATGTATCATACGCTATGGTGTACTTCCTGAACAACGGTCCATGTGAAACAATCAGATCCCTGTGTGCGCGTAAAGTGCACGTCATAGGAATTTAACAAGGATTTTTGTAATCGAGTAACTCGAGGAATTGTTTCAGCCCTAGCTTTTTTACAACAATATTATGACACGAGTGAAGCACAAAGCTATTTTTTTTAAATAAATAATAGTTAGCAATTAAAGGTTACATTTCAGCCATGGAAACATTTGTATTCATGCCGCATCAGAGGTGAGCACATAAATTTAAGCTTTGTATTGTGTTTTACGATCTGGTCACCCGATTATTCACGCCTATTATCAGGTTTAAAAAATAAATAGCAGCTAAGAAAAAATACAAACTGACAAGTAATTTTTTCCTCATACACACAAGTTACTTAACATTTATAACCAGTTCATAACAGGAATAGTCATAGTTATAATTAATACAGATAATTATGCTAAAAAGTAGGAAAATCACATTTATTTCATTGGAATAGCCAGCGAGTTTTCACATGCTTGCACTCTTCCCTGCAGATATTATCTTTCATAAGCACTAAACTCTTCTAGGTCTAGGACCCAGGAGAAATGATTTTCCCTTTCTACCTCTCTCTGGTGACTGTGTGTGTGTGTGTGTGAGAGAGAGAGAGAGAGAGAGAGAGAGAGAGAGAGAGAGAGAGAGAGAGAGAGAGAGAGTGAGCTTGCTAGAGTGGGGGAAGGGCAGCCAGTTCTCAGTTGAGCTTCAGAATTCAGACTCAAAACAGCACAGTGGGAAAACCAGGAAGCCCAGCAGTCACACCGATTCCCTCCAAAAAAGACTCTCAAAGTCTCCCAAACAAACACAATATGTACCATTTTTGCACATTTATTAAGAGAATATTATGCAAAGAATTACAGATGATTTCTACAAAGAGCCAGCAAATCATCCAGGTGGATCTGCATATTGGTGGTGCTTGACGAGATTTCCCCGTTCTATGTAAAGCGCTCTCTGAGTACCCAGAAAAGGGCTAAATAAATATAGCAAATTATTATTATTATTTAAGTTCCTTCATTAGTTCTCTAAGAACATGTAATTGAGAAAAAGGGTTACATTATTAAAGTTTTCATTTTAATTGACTACACATACTCACTATAGAGCTACATGATTAGGGTTAGTTACTTGTAATTATGCACAATTTACTGTCATTACTATAGTAAATACATGTAGTAACGTATAACTACGTGTGGATTTGTATTTCTGCTTCATGAAGCTGTGTTTTTGATTTGGCAAATGGAAGTAGTAAGCTCAGTATTTTTTGGTGTGTGTTTGGGGGGGAATTTCCCATTAATTTCCCCTGTCCTATTTCATGTTTACCTAATGAACAGGAAAACCTCTATGAGGGTAAAGTGTTATTTTCCACAAAATCTTTGTTGGTAGAGTGGAGAGCTTGAAGCAGTGTTAATTTTTACAGTAAATTTTGATTTAGTTTTAATCATGGTCTTTTAACTAAAATTCCATTTAGTTTTAGTCATATGAATTGTTTTAGTAGACAAAATTCAATACGATTTTATTCGACTAAATCTACACCAGATTTAGTTGACTAAAATATAATAGGTTTAGTTAAATTGTAATGCATTCCTTTAGAATTTCTCTAAAATATCCAAACCCATATACTCCCAGAGAAAACATCTATTAACCTATTAATATGAAGGATTTAAGTTTGAACATGCAATACAGATAGAGACTTAACTACTGTGACTTATCTTAAAAAATATCTTACAATTAAATAAAACCACTTTTCCTCAAGTAAATCCCTGTCTTCTTTTCAACGAATGATATATGCATTCTTTATAACTACTTGCATACATCATTCTTTATTCTTTCAAGCAGACATATTTATTTGTATGAATTTAAAAGCCCCTATCATAGCATTTGAAATGTTCCTATTTTTGTTTTATGAGTTCCCAAAAACAGTTTAACGTGCATGCAAGGATTAAAAACACTTTATTTGTCTTATAATATGCATTTATTTTTACCCGATTTGCTCAACGACTCCTAAATGATTCGTTCGACGATTCATTTTCCCAAACACCTCCTTTGAGTGACGTGAATCTGCGGCGATTGGTCAAATGACCCAGTCAGTTGTTATTGGTAAACCGTAGGCAGAGACTGTCAGCAACAGAACGCCCATAACCAGGATTATAGCTTGTCAAGTGTTGAAAATTGTATATAGTGTTTGATCAAACGTGTCAGAAAAAGTGCACTTTCCACACGGTCCCTTACTCACGTCTCCGTCAACAGCAAGCTTTCCAGGCGAAACTCACATTGCGGGGGCTTTTGTGGGGCAGTGCTTATTATATAGAGCGAAGTCATTTAGGAGGTAATTGCCATTTATCAATGAATGTCTGGTGAATATCAAAAACAAAACTAACTTTACCCCTCTTAGAAGCTGCGCGGAGTGTACACTATATTGTGATTGCTACAGAAAACATAACAGCAAGCATTATTAATATTACTTACAGATTGTGATTCGGAGGAGGACGAACCTGATCCATATATACACTGGATACTGAGCCCTCCTTCAGGAACAACCGGCTTGCAAATGATTCGTCATTAAAATTATGAGAACACAATCGAGCGATACTGATTCTACTGATACTGACCACTGATTCTTCACATGCTTGTCCCTGGACAATGGAAAAAAGTGGCTGAACTGTCTTTGCAATGTAGAAAACAGCGTCTTCTCGACATGATGCGATTCAGCTGAAGTATTTTAATGTGTTCTAGACGTCACTTCAAGTCTGCGAGCGCAGTTGTTGGGAGCGGCCAATGACCTGTAGGGCTGTCAATCTTCCTCTATAATACTATTCGAATTCCATTCCTTATTTTATGTAATATTCGAATAATATTTGAATATTAAATGCTCAAATTTATCCTATTATTAATATTTACGACATTACACATTCTTATGGATCGTCAATGCCAATATAGTATTGATTTTTTTAATATTCGAATTATATTCGAATTTCAGAATTCGTTCCAACAGCCCTAATGACATGTCTACGTCACAATGTAACAGCTAATGACTCGTTTAAAAAAATTATTTCATAGACTCAGAGTCGACTCTCACTTTTGAAAGACAATACATATACGGTGCACTTTCAGATCTAAATCTTTGCAGGATGTTTTTGTTCCCTTAGACCTATATTCCACACTACATGAACAGTCATTTTCAAAAATCCATGATAGGTGCTCTTTAAATACAATTAATCCTTATTTAAGCTATTGATAAACAGTGAATGCTCTTTTTATTTTGTTGCTTGAATATTAAGGACACAGACTGCATTAGGTTTATTACCCACTGTAGCTTTAAGACATGAGATCATGTCCAATGACATCCGATAGCCTACCCTACTCTTTAAGACATAATCAACATAGTTTACATGAATACTCTCCAAAACTGACATTTAGACAATGTCACTACTAGGCTACTAGTTATGCTATTTTGTGTCTACAAACGCGTACAAACATTATGGACCTGAATTTTGTATAAGTACTAATGTTTTAATGTTTTAATATTTTCCATGTTTATATGCTTTATGACGTTATTTTTCGATTTGATCAAGAACGTAAACTAATGCCAACGCAGTTTGTGTTAAACATTAGTAGCCAGTCAGTTGCTATTGTTGCCAGTCAGATGCTATGGTGTAAAATAAATGTGTATAAAGTTAAAAAATGTAGCAAATTATCATCCAGAAACGTTTAGTAAGAGCCGTGTGTGGTGAGTTTCTGCTTGACTCTCTTCATCGCGGCTTTCTCGGTCTGATTCTGCTTCAAACTTAGCCTGACTTCGTCATATTCTGGTCAGAATATGAGTCTGAGACCGCTCCGTAGGGCTTTGATTATGAGGCGTGTCTTAACCGAACCAGGAAAAAAAAACAATCTCTGCACTCAATCGGATAGTCGGACAGACCTACAACCAATCAGAGCAACGCAGTAAGTGTCAACAACAGAACTTACATATTTTAGAAGTAAAATAATGAGTGTTGCTTCTTTCACTTGGTCCTTAATGAGTGCGACCAAAGGAGCCACAACGACCACATGCTTTTCATTACGTCCCATCTTCTTAACTTAGCGACCATCAGAGCCGGTTGATAAGTTACACTTTTGCCGAATATCTCACCGATCGACAAATGCCTTGATTGCAGTTTTCTGTTTATCTATTAAAATTAATGCGCTGTCGATTAATTTTAAAAACAGAAGTGACAGCGGCATCTATACTCTAAGCCCCGCCCCCCTTAGTTACTGTTGCTACATCCGTCAAACTTCATCTGCGCTCTGTGCATGGCTTATGCTGTAACAGCTCTTCCTGCTGAAATGTTATCAAACTTTTATAAAGCACTAAAAGCAGCAAATAAAGTGTTCGATAGAAGTAGGCAAAAGGGGCTGCAATATGCGTTCGAACTCGAAGGCTATATTCAAGACATACAGGTGAAACGCAAGAAAAAACAAGGCATCCAAAATAGAGGCAAAAGCATAACGTTACCAGTCACAGTCAAAAAATGAACCACCGCATTTCCTACTAATCGAGACGGAGGCTGAGACTAACAATATCAGGGAGCAACACTGTTCATGCAAAGCTGGGTAGGTCTCTATTCACCTCTATAATTGTTATTAAAAAGCAAACGGACTACACAAGTATAACGTTGTATTTATTAGCAGCGTGTGCTAGCGTATCAACAACCGGTATGAGAACCGAAATCATAACCTAAAACATTATAAAACGGTCTAACTTGTATAACTTTACTTCACACTCACAGTAAGGTTAGAAATAAAAAAAAAGATGTGCTTGTTGATCTTTGCGGGGTTTAGCTGACTGAGGACGTCAGGATTTGACTTCGGTTTTGGGAAGGGAAAAATGGACACCCCCCTCCAACATCTCTGGGAAACGCGTATCTGTGTTACAAATGCCCGAGGCACAGTGTTTAACCATATTTTGGATAAAACTACGACGGTAATAGCCTGCCGAGACCAAAAATATGAGACGCCTGTGTAAGTCAATGGAGCGCTGTGAAAGTGTCCCACCTCTGTGGGAGCTCGTTCTTGGCTGCGCTGTGATTGGTCAATCTACATTCTAGGGCGTGGCTTAGCCAAAGGTGAATTCTCCAGATGCAGTCATCTTTGGAACCAGTTAGCGCTCTTTGATAACATGATGATTACGTCCCTGCAGATCATCTGTCCATCATCGTATAAAGCCCGCCCTGGCAATCTGATTGGCCCGATCATTTTTTGCCTGATCATAATTACTCCTCAATGGATCGAGTCCAAACCGAACGTCCCGACCAAAAAATGTTGTGGGTGGAGTTCGGGCTGGCATCCAGGCTACCTCTAACTGATACTGCAGTGTGACACCATTATTTACATCTGGACAGGAGCTCATGACATGCACGTTTCGCCCATAAAGGTAACCTTCCGGACAATGTGAGCGACAGTGTAGCCAATAACAACACACCAGGCCAAACTAACCAATCTGGGCCCACTGCCTGTTTCTGAGGGAGTGGTTTCATAGACTCAGGAAGTCAACCGGTCATTCAGGGGACAGAGGAGAGCGCGGCTTACAATAAAGGTGAAGTTTATGAAAAACAAGACTTTTTAAAAAAGAAAAAACATAAATACATGTTATATTGCACCCTATAATCACAATCACACAACCCCCCCCCCCCCCCCCCTTTAAAAAAAAAGTCCAGCATTAAATCAATTAGTCTCTGTGGCTAAAACTGCTCTGTTTAAGGGTTGTAGCCAAACTAAAATGCTCTCAAGCCCAAATCCTTGGGGATCTTATTTGGTTAAACTTGGTCAAATATATATGCAATGATAATGGCAGTATGGTGACATTAGTTGCTTAACTGTCCAAATCAAAAGTGCCCACCTGCATGTCTCAAATAACATTCATTCACTATACAGCAGCTTGACTCCCTTTTCAATCCAGCTATGGGATTTTTTCACAGTTTTATCATCAAGCAAGAAAGTCTCCAAGGTGCAAGTCTTATCAAAATAAGTTATGAAGCCTCTATAACTTATCTCAAAGTCGTAGCTCATAGAATGTGCAATAGGAATATAATGGTTGCATTTTGCAAACATTATCAGAGCACTAACTAACATCAGTACGCTTACATTCAGCTAGGCGTCCCTTCATGAATCAATAGCGTGATATAACTAGAACTAATCTAGGCTCACAGCTGTGTTACAGCAGAGACTATTTGGTTTCAGCCAGAAAATCATGTGACAATTTCATCAGTACATAGACAATACGTAATAACAGATTGGTAATCCAATCTTCTCAATTATTCTAAGTCTTCTTTGGTAGGGGACATTCTTAAGCCTATATAAATAATACTTAACAGCTGAATAATTAAATTATGTGCAACTGGTTTTCAATAAAGCATTTATTACCATTTTAATTACATATAATACAAAATGAACTGCAATATATAGATTCCAGTGATTTGTTTGCATTTGTCACCACTTTGGCTCTTACCTTGAGTCGTTTGACAACTTCATCGTTGGTGATCTTATCAGTGATCTCTTTGACACCCAGTGGGTAGGTTATCTTTCCGTCCCCCGCTGGTCGTTGCTGCTGAGGCTGTTGCGGGAACTCCATCATCCTTCAGACAGACAGACGGTCCTCTACTGGCCTCTATAGGCAACAACACTAAAGTTCAGCACACAAACCCACCACACCACTACAAAAACACTAAAATACACCTTATGCACTTCACCCTCCTGCTCCCTGGTCGTGTAGTTAAGCCCCCTAAAACGGTGGAATGACACGGAAACCTTACATAGGACAGTTTGCTGAAAAATTCTGAATAAAATCACGAAGCTAATGAAGCTAATAGCAACACTAGCCTGAGAGCTAACGAGACCAGCTCCGCAACCGCGCTTTTACTCTAAAATGCATTACTATCTAGACATTTAAAGCTCGCCTGATAAGGGTCTCCACAGATTATGCACGTTCAGACATAACCACTCAACTCGGTAGAAAGGTATGGTATAAAAGCACCTCAGAGAGTAAAATACCTCTTTGAGCGGCTAATGGCCTAGCCGTCAGCTCCAGGCCTCAAACTATTCAACAAACATCCAGCCAACACTCACATTTACCTATTACAATCACAACCCGCCGGTTACTGCTACCCCAAAAGCATTTATCCCATATCTCTCACTCGACACTACTCCACTGCGGCCGTTATCCTAACTTTAGACGGTAGGAAATCTGAAATGTTTACTTGTTTTCTCTGTATAAGTTCACTCAGCGAGGCAAACACCAACCACCAACTTCATCATGCCACACAAACTGTGTGAATTAAACTCCCTCGAGCGACTCCAGCCGCCTCACAACCGCTTTCAAACAATTCCCCGGTCATTACCTCACAGACAAGTCGTTGTTTTAATTCATGAGTCAGGCTCGGGTTCGGGTTCGGGTGTTTTTTTTAGTTTCGGGCACAAAGCTCCGTCTTTTTCATTCAGGGCTGTGTGTACGTCCTCGCGTGGAAAGTGGAGGCGCAGCGACCCCGTTGGCTGAAAGACGGTATAGCGGGGCGCCGATGGAGGGAGAAACGTTACCATACATATTAGAAAACAACCGCCTGAGATAGTGGTTTACTTGGGACAGAACTTGGTTTACCGTAAATATTAGAAAAGAAAAGCCCCCATACATATGACGTGCCATATTGTGAAAGAACCGTCTCTGAATTGTGTACTGCACGATCAACAATCTACAACAGCAGTAATTGCAAAAATAATATTATACAAAAATTTGATAAAGCGACAATTACTAAACTAAGAACAACGTATCTAACACTCCACCTCCCAAAGTGAAAGAAACTCACTTTAAAGTAATGAACAACATTTATCCCTCTAAAGAATTACTGAGACTTCGCTTTGGTATAGATAGAGGATAACACATGTACATTCTGTGAAAATGATGTTGAAACTACGGACCATGTGTTTTTCTCATGTAATGTGATTCAGATATTTTGGTGTGATGTACATAAATGGGTTAAGCAGCAGATATCTTCATTCCCAACCTCTATATCCAGAGACGATGTTACATTTGGATTGATATTGCAAAGCAAGGGTGATGAGCTATGTATTAATACAATTGTATGTCTAGCCAAATTCTTCATTCATAAGTGTAGAATTGTGAAATCATCTCCCAAATTCGTAGTTTTCTTGAAGGAATTTGAACTGTATATAAAATCCTTAAAAACTTTGAAAGGTCCTATAGGTACAAAAAATATATGATACCCTAAAACTCTTCCCAACTGAGATTAATGGATGAACAAAGACTGCATTCACCCCTTATTGTCATGTATGTTTTATCATAATTCTTCCCATTTACTTAATTATTTATGTTTTTTTATGTTTATTTTCCTTACAAATATCCTTTTTGTACTTAGACTTCATTTATTTTCTTGTTGTATTAAGTGCTGCTCCCTCTGGCTATATTTTCTTTGTACTCTATATAAGAAAAGAAAGTTATGCAGCCATGTTTGTTTGTAAATCTTGAAATTGCAATAAAAAAAAACAGCAGTAATTGCTTGCAATAACCCCCCCCCCCCCCCCCCATTCGAACTCGAAGATAACATACATGAATGAATGCAATGTTAGAATTGGTGAAAACAGTGTACATTGGAGTGTGAGAAATATATATATTTGTATATATATATATCGGGTTATATAATAATATTAATAATATTGAGACGGGACAAAATATGACATAATATTATGGAACATAAAATTATTCTTGTAAATGTGTGAAAAAATGTTCAGAGGTAACCTGTATTTATTTTTTAGGTTTGGTACATTCCCCTGCCTCTTATTTATTAAACATATCCTGACCCTTTCGTGTTCACATTCCCCTGCATAATTGTATTTGTATATAGATTATTTTACTTACATATTTTGCTTATCTTGTTTATCTGGAAGCTTCATCGTTACTTGTGTTTGACACACAATGCCTGAGTAAACATACTTGGTAATCTCACACCCGGTTTTACAGACAAGTCTTAAATCTAGTCCCAGACTAAAATGCATGTTTGAGCTGTTTAAACTGAAAGCAACTATCACTGACATGACATATATCTAAAAATATGTCAGTGCCATTGCGGTTTCTCAAGACGCACACCAGTCCAGCACTGCTTTTAAAGCATGTTTATTAAAAAGATACTTAAATGTCCTTAAACTGAGCCCTAATCCTGGCTTAATCTAAGCTCTTTCTGTGAAAACTAGGCCTCAGAATCTTTCATGGTGTCCTGGTGTTTCCATCCACTAGAGGCGCTGCAGTATTTCTGCTTCTCCGTGGAGAGTTGTTCGTCTGTTTTTTTACTTTACTTCCTCTAGAAAAAACTTGTAAACAGTGGAATTTGTCGTAGGTGTTTTGTGAACGGGGTACAACAGAATGCCAAAGAAAAAGAAAAACGGACTGAGTCCCTCCCGTGGCCCGACGCAGGCGGCCGAGTACGGGTGCGGTTCCGAGATTCGAGCACACGGAGCAAATGGATCTTTTGTGACCCGTGCGGACTCGATACCAAACAGCTTTGGGTCCACACATTCCAGGAGTGGTCAGTTGGAATCTCAAAGACGAGACGAAATCATCCAGAGCATGCAGGAGATGTTTTCACATTTGGATCCAGAAGTAATTTACATGGTACTATCAGAGGCAGATTTTAAAGGTAAGGGACATTTTAAACTACTCTTTAATTTTAGTTACACTTTCCATATTAAGATGGTAACGTTGGTGTAAGCAGCCATATATCTGGCTGACCAACTAAGTTACCATGTCCTCGATCACCTTAACCTGGTATGACCACCAACTGGTAGCAAGTTTGTTGCTGGCTAAAGATAAGATAAACTGGGACCACGAATGACCATTTTAGACCACCTAGAAACCAGCTAAGTTACATGTACCAACTTCACCTCGATTATTTTCTGTACATTTTTGTTTTATGGTATTTCATTAAACTATGCTCCAAGTTGACGTTGTCATGAAGCCCTGTATGATTCTTAATGTACATGATGATGGCGGCATACATGTTTAGCTTTTGCTCAACAAGGCTAAATTTATTTAATACAAAATATTGTCGTAAATAAAAAAAACAAACAAAAACATTTGGAATATTACTACAAGATTTAAATAATTTAAATAACTGTTTTCAATTGTAATATGTTTTAAAATGTCATTTATTCCTGTAATGGCAAAGCTGAAATTTCAGCAGCTATTACACCAGTAATTCTTCAGAAATCATTCTAAAATATGCTGATTTGGTCCTATTATTAATTATTATTGGTGCCCATTAATTAATAATGGTTATCAATGTTGCAGAAAGTTTTTGCGTCTTAATTTTTGTGTGGAAACCATGATACTTTTTTTCAGGATACCCTAATAAAAAGTTCAAAAGAACATTTATTTGAAATATAAATCTTTTGTAATATTATAAACATCTTTATTGTCACTTTTAAATTAATTTAATGCATCCTTTCCAAATAAAAAATGTATAATATTTTTTAACTACTACCATTAAGTCTGAGGTATCACAATTGATCACCAAATCAGCATATTAGACTTATTTCTGAAGGGTCATGTGACAGGATCATAAAGGCTGTGTTTCAGAGAATTGTTGTTTTTGCTGTATTTTTGAATATTAAAGAATTTAGCCTTGGTGATTTTAAGAGACTTCTTTCAAAAACATTAAACCAAATCTTAATAAACTTTGAACCAGTGCTGTATGTTGCATTTTAGCTAGATAAGGCACTACGTTTAACTTTAAAAAACAAAACAAAAAAAAAAACGAATAAATAGTTTAATTTTCTTTTTTCATTACTACAGTAATATACATGTATTTTGGATACATACTTTTTTTTATTTATACATTTTCTTTCTTAATCTCTGCATCAGTGGACAATGCGATGGATTCGCTTTTGGAGCTGTCAGATGCTGCTGAGGGCATAGTCCCACCCCCTCCTCCTGTCTCAGGGTTTGAGCAGGCTGCTGCTCTTCTGGGTACGAACATCACTCAAACAGACCTCAGTGGAACGGCAGAGAGCTTTGAATTTTCAAACCAGCCTGCATCTCAGCCGGAGCTCATTCCTGGTGAAACACACCTGACAGAAGAGTTTGATGCTCTTATAGATCAGGAACTTCAGACTTTGACGGCACAGCAGACACAAGCTAGCTCCCAGCCTGTACTGCCTTCCATACCTCTCTCTTCTCTACCCCCTCCTTCTCAATCAATCCCTCACTCCTCACTGCCTCTTACATCCCAGACTCAGCTTCCAGCTCCTCGAACAAGATCAGAACAGTCCTCTTTCTCTGACCCCGGGCTCAGTGAGGCCCGTGGCGGTAGCTCACCCCTGAATCAATTAAGTTTCGGTGGGGTCCATATTCCAGACACGAAAACAGTATCTCTTGACTTCAGTCACCTAATAATGGAGGCCAGCTCTACTGAACCACGGCCCTCTGCCTTTCAGGTTTACCGTAGACCTGACCAACTCGGTAACCACACAGTGGCAATGCAGCACCAAGAAGCACTCGGCACACCTGCCGCGTTCTGGAACACTCAGGCTACTGAGTTTCATCCGTCCTCTGTGGGACCGTCCTTCATTACACCTGTCATTCCTAACCCCTCCCGTTGGAGCAGTAACCCCATTCCTGCTGCTCAGTGGTTGGCTCGTGGACCTATCAGACAAGCACCTCTGAAGCCTTCTGCAACTGTACCAAAGTCATGGACTCTGCCCACTAGGAACAGACTCAAATTGGAAGGGCAGGTGTTGGTGTTACTTAGAGGGGCTCCTGGATCAGGCAAAACCACCCTTGCCAAGTAAGCAAGAAGACTCATAGCTGTTGTTTTATTGAAAACAGGTGGAATAGCACAAATGAAATCTGAATTTTGGAGTTTTTTGTGCAGTTTTTAAATTGCACATAATGTTCTTTTCATTTTCGTTAAACAACTTTATCAGCAGTTCATGATGTACAACACTCCCTTTATAAGAGAATAGTTTTCCTTTGGGGGAGGTTATAGTAGCGTCTCTTGGGAATGAAGTTTAGATTCATTTAGATGGTGCTAACAGAATTAGATAGATTGTCCTTTGGTAACGTTTTATGGGAAGGAAATTTGCCATGTAGTGGTATCAAATGTTCTTTTCGCGGTAATTGTTAAAGCTTTTTTCATGATTTTGCATTATAAAACGGGTTGCAAGGCAAAATTTAACGTTTTGCTAGTTTAGATAAAGTTTTTTTTTTTTTACATTTAGCCTTTTAATGAAAATATCACATAGAAAACAAGTTGAAGAGCATTTAAAAATCTAAATGAAGTTCTACATATTTGAACCTCCTGTGGAGCAGAAGGGCAAAAGCTCATTTTAGTGTGCATCCAGACTTTGAAAGCAATTTTGCGTTATAATTATCAAAGTACTACCATACCATACTGCCAGTGCCAAATACCAGCACATATATTGCCCTTTGTTTTGAGATTAACAACACTGGCAGATAACCCTGCTCAACAGAA